ACAGAACAATATGTGTCAACATGATTTATTAATAGACATCCGTGGAACAACCATTTTATTATGTTTTATTCATCTTCAACTTTTCATGTTGTTTTGCGACGTATCTGATGATGAAATTATTATGTTATCACCAACAAGAGGTGTCGTCAAAAACACCTACGTTGAAGTTGTAAATCATACGGACGTTCCGAAGTTTGGTGGAAAGAGACCTAATATGATGGAGGTTCAATTTAATGTTGGTAAATTTGATGGAACATGTAGTAAATATCCCATGATTTCTACGCCATACTGATAACTTGTAATACCAGACTGTAATCGAATTGTTTCCTGTTAACGTTACCTAAGAGCTGTAACACTACGAGCATCAGATGTAATGTATGCATGTTGCTGTCTCGTTATTATAGTCATTGGTTGTAGTCAGAAAACAATAACGTAAGTCTAAATATCAAATATAACTTACGATTTTCCGAATCATGGTACCTGTGCGATGTAAACACATCATTAGTAAAATATGTAGCTGTGTTAGAAAATGGAGCTTGTTACTGTGTATTTTATTGAAACCTGAGTTACTCTTTAGAGTTTTCTGACTTGTTCAGACATCTATATCTTTCTATGATTCTAAATACTGAGTATTAGCTCCGTGGTACACAATTGAATAATGGAAGTATTATGATGCAAAGAGCTTCCTATTCTTAGCGTAAGTACATAACAGCATGGTAGCAGTGAAAATTATAATCATAAGATCCTACTGTAAATATGAAGTACGTATTACTGTACTTCTCCTAAATGATTCAAGTTTCATAATAAATAGATGGTGTCCCTTGTAATTCCAATTCAATTCTTTACAAGTTGAAATACCTCTCTTTTTTGAAGACAGTTAGTTCCACGACAGTGATGTATACCATTACGAGTTCTCTCCTTAATGTTGGTAGAAATGACACCTTCTGCAGCAGGTTATTCAATTTCGTATAACAAGAACTCTTTATATATTCAATAAATCTGTTATGATTAGGATCTACACTATTGCCGTGTTGGTTAAAACGCCAATCGTAAGACATTAAGGTTCCTATAGAATATGACTACGTATTTTTCATAAACTTCGCAGTTTCCTAGAGAGTAAATACTATTACCTATCACTTTCAATCTTTCAATATTAAATTAGTATTTTAATTTTGCGTCGCAATAGTTACATTGTGAATCAAAGAGAGATCAACTATTTATCCTATTGCTCCAGTAAATATGAAGAGTTACAAATACTGAACTTGAAAAAGTACTTGAACTTAATATCCTTATTAGATTCATTTTATCATTTATTTGGAAAGGTTGTTCATGATAAAATTTATATTGTACAAAGGTTCACCGCCCTTTTGCTACACAATATAACACATTAGATAGACTAGACTGCAAATATTGTGTGTGTGCAATAGTGTTGTGATGTTGGTGGTGATGAACCTTAATAGAGATACAATATATCTCAACAACAAACTATTACTTGAACAACAATAAAAAAAACAAACAAAATGATTAAGGCTACAACTATTATTGCTAGTTTACTTATTATTGTATTGTGTACACAATATACAATGGCACAAACATGTAAGATTGGTACCTTGTTTAATCAATCACCTAAACAATGTACAGATTGTACAACATGTACAGGTGCAAATCCAACATGTGCTACTAGAAGTGATGATCTTGAAGTTTCTTCTAACTTGATTTTATTAACAGGTGATTGTAGGGTTGTTGGTATTGAACAAGCATGTTCTCGATATGATCCAAAGAATCAAAAATATGTTAATAATGATGGTTCATATAGAATTTGTAAGGCTTGGTGTGAAAAGAGAAAATCAACATGTAATGATCCAACTGATTGTTCAAATTATCCTACTACTGATTGTTGGAATAATTCTAATACTATGGTATTAAGTATGGGTACTTTTATTTTAATTCTCATTTCTATTCTTTTATTTTAAATAAATAATTGTATTAATATTGTATATTTAATATTACAATTTAATAGTATTACAAATAATCCAATCTCCAATAATTGAATCCAATCACTTTTATCAGTTGAAGTAATTGATATTTATTCTAAAAATATTAAATGATTACCATATGAAAATCATTTAAGTGAATGTAATTTACAAAATAATAATTTAATTAAAAAGAGGAACAGTTCAATAGATAATATTTCATATAATCAACAATTAAATTCACCTAATCAATTTATTAAGAATAATAATTTTAATAATTTATTAAATATTAATAATAATAATAACTTTAATTTAGAAATTAATAATGAAAATTCACCTAATGAAAGTATTGATTGTCAATCAATGTTAAAAAGTGTGAATTCAAATTATTCAAATTTATCTTCATTATCAAATAATTTAATGAATCCAATTTCAATTTCTAATTTTAATTCTAATATTATTATAGAAAATATAATTAATAATTTAAACACTTTAGTTTATTAAACATATAATACAACATTCAATTAATTGAAAAAATCATCTAGGAAAATTATTAGATCTTCAATTTCATTTAGAGAATTATTAAATTAATTTGTAAATAGTAATTTCTATTTTGAAATTTTAATAATTCATCATGGACATTGATTTATTGTAATAATGATTGTAAATAAATAAGGTATCAATGTCCATGAATTTTATAGAAATTACAATTATTTATAAATGGAAAGTAATATTTTCAATGTTATAGATAATGACATTTCAAAGACATTTGGGAGTATCAACTTCCAAACATTATTAATGTGGTGATCATTTTCAACATTTTTATTCGAATCATGAAATAGACAAGATGAATACCTACCATTTATGGCAAGTAAGATACTTTGTATTGCCGGCAATTGATTGAAAATGGCCCAATAGTACCATTTAATAACAATACATTCCCATTTGTGTTATCATGTTTATAAAACTTTTCATTTAAATAGGCGTTGGAGAGAAAACTCACTATATTAAAAAAACAACTCAACAAGCCTTTGAAATAGCCTTTGATGATAACTTACCACAAATTCTCGTTAGTTGAATTTTCACCACCTCTTCAACAATCTAATAATGCTAATATTCCATCAATTGATATTTATCATGCAACCTCAACTAACATGAAATATTCCACCACCACCACCAAAACAATCACAACACAACAATTACCTAAAAGAAGAGGTAGACCATGTACTAGACGAATTGATCCATCTATACCACTCATGACAATTACCAGAACTGAAATTATTTCAAATTCAATTGAACAACAACAATCAAATAATCTTGAAAAATTACTTCCCTATGAAAATCATACAACCATTCAACCTCTGAAATCCAAAACCTTAACTAATTCCAATATTAATAAGAGAAAGAGATCTTCAAGTAATTCAACAATTACTAATAATACTTCATATAATAACATTGATTGTATTCATCAACCATTGGAAAAGAAAAGTAAATTAATTGAAGATTATATTGAATCCAATGATGCAACATCACCACAACTTGCATTGCTATCAAAGCCAAACCATCAACAAAGGAGTAGTAGTGATATAAAGGGAGTAATTTCACCTCCAAATAGAAAAATTATTAGGACATCCATTTCAATCAAAGACTTATTAAATTGATAATATAGATGTGAGTCAATTATTTTCATTCTCATACAAATGAGGCCCGGGGACAAGTAAAAAATATATCGTTGGGGACAGCCCATAATTAAAAATAACCAGGGTACAATTATCTGGTTGATAGAGTTGGTGAATTGTTGATTCAATTCTTAACTAAAACTACCAATGTTGCACCAATGAACAGAGTACATAGGATAGAGTAGTATGATACTTTTTGTTTTTTTGAATTTCCTTTAATGTTGGTGAGGAATGATAATTGTTAGTAAAAGAAAATTAGCTCTTTTAGCGTTGTTTTTACTTGAAAATTAGAAGAAATATTGATAATTAATAAAGAAAAAGTTGAAACTCAGAAGAGAATCATAACCCGTAAGCTCTTGTGCTCGTATTGGCACTTTACATTTCGGAAGATAGTTTTAGGATTAACAAACAACCCTAAAATTACAAAGAAATCAATACGAAACTGAAATCCTGTTGTAAATCAGGAAACCAACACAATCAGTGGTGGTATTATATCAATTTAATAACATTTTGATCGCACCCTTGTTGTATGAAGTAGTTTTTGAGAATACAAAATGATACTCAAAAAAGGCGAGCTGATTATCTCATCAACCAAAGAGAATCAACATCTAACAAATCAGAATCCTAACCCCATACAATTTTACTATAATTTTTGTGGTCTTTCTTGTAAAGTAATATTTGACTTTTCTATACCCAAATATTTTCCATCTGTCCGCAACAACATATTCTTTATTAGTCCCCAGGCCTCAATGGATATTTTGATTTGCAGGTGATTTCGGTAAATTTGTAATTGAAGCCTTAAAGACCAAGAGAAGAATCATGTATTAATAATAGGTGAATTTTAAGTCCGTTAAATTTTAAGACGTTAAACATGTAGAACATCAATAAGGGAATTATTAAATTAATAATTTTAATTATTACCATTTATAAATAAGAAATATGCCAGATGAAAATTTTAAGGATTTGGCAATTATTGAATAAAGACTTGATGTTATTTGAAAGGATTTCAAAGTTGGCTCATTCTTCAGCTAATTATCAAAAGATTGTTGTTTGATTTCTTCTTTAAAACACAAAAAAGTTGTTTTTCCAATCATTTGTGAAGCCAATCTCCAGACGTGGCTAATAATTTATTCAAAACGAGGCCAATGAACATATTTGAATACTTTTATACAAAGTGATGTAAGATAATCCGAGTGATAGGTATCATATCAATTAATCATTTTCGACACATGCCTAAATTGAAACTGATTACATTGATGTTTTAAAATGGAACAATACAATCAATAGGTTCAAATGTCTATTTATCTCACATTAATGTGATTATACTTTTAGATTTGTTCTTCATGATATGTAGTTGAACAATGTCATAAATGCCATTTAAAGGCCTTTAAAAATGTGATGTAAATGATCTCGGTGATGGAGATGAGAATCAACTTGTCAATAATAGTACCTTGTTCTATATTAATACGTCATATTGTCTCGATTGGTCTTTACATCCCTCCCACAATTCAATGTTCTAAAGGTTTTATCAAGGTCAACAATCTAATTAAAAAAAGAAACAAAATGTTCTACAACAAAATTTCAATGGTTGAATTTGCAAAGCCTTCAAATAATTCCAACTCTAAAATAACAAAGAAACAACACAATAATGTCCAAGTAAAAGTAACACGTATTGAAACCAATGATATCAATCCACAAATATGTAAATTACAACCCTATGAAAGTCAATTCTACATTCAAAAACCAATTAAAAGAAATAAGAAACCAGACGAAACTAGGAAACCTTCACAAATGAATAATACCACTATCATTACATCACCACCTCCACCACAATCAACACTACCAACAATATCATCAACATTATGTGAGTTAAATCATGTTGATGGTAGTGATTATCAAATGACTGTTAATAATAATCAAATAATGACTCAAGCAAAGAGACCAATTATAAGGACATCAATTTCAATAAACGAACTATTAAATTAAATATTTTCATTAATTAGGTGAGATGTAAACTTGTTAAAATTGAGCTTTTTCAAAATAGTTCTCAATGATGAAGTCTATTTAAACCAATTATTATTCTATTTGTTGATAAAGTGAGCTATTACAATATTGCATGGTAAATTTGTATATTTAAAGAAATTATATCAATTAAAATGGTGTTTTTTATGGATCTATAATAGAAACATAATTTTCCAATTCCAACATGTCACTTTGTATTTAGCGATTTGATTGTCTAAATTAATCATACCTTTCAAAACAGGACACTGTACCATTACAATACCTCAATTGTATCATACCACCTGTCATAATTATTATATATTATTTAAATGATTTTCATCCTTCACAACAGCCATATATCTCCTCTTCCATTAAGAATTTTGATAAACATGCCAATCAAATAATAAACCAAGAAAATGACAAGAGTTGAAATTCAAAATTGTTTTAAATTACTTCCTTTTGAAACAATATTCATTGCTAAAGATTCAGCTTCATCAGAACATCAATCTGAAGAGATGACATCAAGTTGAAAGACAACCATTAAAAATCCAAAAATGAGGCTAGAGATTTGGCCTGATCATTAATCAAGAATTAATATTTGAACTTTTTGCATCTAATAATGGATTAAGGTTTATTATGGAGATTAAAAATTCTACTTTAGTATTATACAGTTTTTAATAACTAGTGAGTTATATATCTCACTAAAATCACGATTACTTGAGAAATAAAAACACAATAACCACCAAATGTATTATAGTAAATTATCAATAGTTCAATTTAAAGAAGTCAAGTCTTCAAACAAGTCATCACTGCCAACCTCCATTGTTACCAAGAGAAGACGTGGAAGACCAGCAAAGAATGATCCAAAACCAATATTACCAATAGGTTATTTACAAATGATTACCTCTACAGAATCACTAGCTAGTTCTAATAGTAGTGTTGATAAAGTGGTACTACTTGATACTCCTAATCATTGTCGACAAGAGGATCTTGATTTCAAAGGCTTGTCGCAGAGTGGTAATAGTATGACCTATTTTCATAACAAGGCTTGTTGTAGCAAGGAGGAGAGTAGCAATAATAATATTAGCTTTCTAACAACACTTAATTCGAGGCTACATCCACAACCTATTTTCAATACAACATGTAATAATAATAATTGTCATCATTCACCATCATCCACTAATAATAATAATGTAAATAATTTCATCATGATGAAGAGCAATGATGATAATATTGATATTGATAATAATACAAGAAGATGTTCAATGTTTGTAAATTATCAATGTGATGTAGATGATGAAAATAGCAACTTTTCACAAAGTAGAAGTATTCACAGTAGTGGTAACAGCAAAGTTATTTGTATTAATATGAGAAATAGGCGTCCATGCAGGACTTCAATATCAATAAAAGACTTGTTGAATTAATTTTTTTATTAATTATTTAAATTGTTTTTGTTGCAACGGCAATTTGTTTTAAAATCCCAATTCGAATTGATGGACGAATTTTAAAATATAAAATTACTCGATTCAACAAAATGTTCCAATTACGGTATTACTTTCGTTTTGTTACAAATCAATTCTGACAGAAATCCCCCTTAGCTCAGTCGGTAGAGCGTCAGACTGTTAATCTGCAGGTCGGTGGTTCGAGCCCACCAGGGGGAGATCTAGAATTTTATTTAACAATCTTTAGGAATCTTTTGCATTGTCTTGCCATTTCCTCCTTAAATTCAAGCAATTCCTCACCTCCTCCTTCACAATTCTTCACAACTGCCAAATAAAATCTCTTAATTCCCACATGATTATTAATAACAAATAAACTTAGTGAGTCAACTTGTTCCTCTGTTAAAAAACCTTCCTTTTCTAATTTAAATAAAATTGCCTGAATTTCAATCCATATATTCTCCTCACTATTTTCAAATGTTGATAAAGATGATCTGGATTGTTGTTGATTTTTCTGATCATTTTCCTCATCTGATAATTTGTTAACTTCTGCTGCTGATGTTGAAATATTTTGTTGTGAATATCCATCTGATAATAATATTTCATCTTCTGATCCATTTACAATTTCAAATACTTCATGTTCATTCTTTAATTCTTCTAAACTATTATTGCTACTATTGCTAGTATTGCTATTATTCTGATTCATCATAGCAATAACATCATTTTCATCATTATTATTAATATTACTATTATTGGATGATTCTACAACTTGAGAATTATTCACAATTTGTACATTTTGATCATTATTTACATTACTACTATTATTTACATTATTATTATCAATATTATTATCATGATTATTATTCATTGCATTAATTTTAATAGTTTCTAATTTATCATTCAATATATTTTCAACTCTTTCTTTTAAATTATTTAACTTGTTAACAATTTGAGATGCACTTGGTCTCTTTTCAGGTTCAATTTCCACACAATCAAATAAAATTTGTAAATATTCATCTTTTCCAATTAATTTTTGAACATTTGTTACTTTTTCATTTGGTTTTAAATAATCTGAAATTTTCTTCTTATTAGTTGGAATTTTAAAATCAATTTTTAATTGACCTGAATATAACATGAATGCGACAATACATCCAAATGACCAAATATCAACTTTTTCACTATACGAATCTTCATTATAAATTTCAGGAGCTAAATATAACATTGTACCACATGCTGTTCTTGCAAGTGAACTTTGAACATTTTTAGCTAATCCAAAATCACTTAATTTCATAATTGGTTTCATATCATTACTATAATTAGTATTATTATTATTAGTATTATTTGAATTTTCAAATGTTACAAAAATATTTGATGGTTTTAAATCTCGATGTATAATATTTCTCTCATGTATATATTCCAATGCTAATGCTATTTGAATTAACCATTCAATTATTTCCAATTCATTCCAATTTCCAATTTTATTCCAATAATTAACTTTCCTAACATAGAACATGCTTAAATCACCTGATTCACAATATGGCATTATAATATTCAATACAAGTGATACCATTTCATTATTATTATCACCACCACTATTAGTATTATTATCATGTTGTTTTTCCTGATTAATCATCATCATTCGTTTTTCAATAAAAAATGATAAAGTAGGTAAAATGTTAACATGTTTCAATTGTTGTAGAATTAAAATTTCATTAAATACACTATCAGATGCAACTGATTTGTTTCTACCAACATTATCATTAAATATTATATCCATCCTTTTAAGTGCATAATATTTACTTGTAGAAATATTTCCATTATTATTATTATTATTAGAATGAATAGAATTATTATTTAATAAGGAAGAAGTTACAGATGCATTTTCATCTCTCACCAGAAATACGCATGCTTGTCCACCTCTTCCTAATAATCTTTCAATTACATAATTTCCAACTCTTGTTTCATTTAAAAAGGAAACTTTACGCAAATCACTAATTGAATTTTCATTTAAATTAGTTTCTAATAACCACATATCATTAGCTCTAGCAACTAATTTATCTTTATCAACAATTCCACCAAATATTAATGCTTTACCACTATTAGAAATTGGTTGAATGATAAATCCAATACGCGCAGGTAGTGAATTTCTTTTATCATTCATTATTTCATTATTATTATCACTCATATTACCATTTATGGTAGTATTGAAGGTATTATTAAATTTTTTCCATTGTAAAGTTTCCAAATCCAATACAAAAGTATTATTTAAATAAAGTTTTTTATAAACACCTCCTACTAGTATTAGAAATTTACCCAAAACAACACATTTATGATCACTTCTCCTTTCAGGATAATCCTCCGATGGATCTCTATCAGGTAATAAATTCTTCCATCTATAGGAATCAATATCAAATAACCATAAATCATTGGTTTGAATTCCCTTTTCTAAAACTCCACCAAATAATAGAATTTTATCTTTAACTAATCCACACCAATGATTATATCTAGGAAGTGGTATATTATTATTATTAGAAATATTACCATTATTAGAAGTATTATTAGAAGTATTATTAATATTTTGATATTCAATTTTTTTCCATTCAAATATAAAATTCTTATAATCTAAAATATTTAATAACCACATATCATTTCTAAATGAACCATCATATCCACCATATAATAATATTGAATTATTACTAATAGGTGTTAGAGAATGATAATATCTTGCTGTTGGTATTTTAATTCCTAAATTCATTGTAAAACCATCTTTAATCATGAAATTATGTGAATCTGTAAATGTTGGAATCCAAGTTGAGTATTGTGAATTTTTAAATAGTGAATAATATTCATTATCTTCTTGTTCAATAGTAGATGATGATGATTGTGATGATTGTGAATGAGATGAATGAGATGAATTAGATGGTTTGTAATAACCTTTTAATTTACCTTCATGCCAAGTCATAGTTTCCAAATTTAGAAACCAAACATCGTTTAATCGAATTTTTTTATCTGCAATTCCACCAAATATTAAAATAAATTTACTTTCTGGAATTGTACACATTCCATGACGTTCTCTTGGAATTGGAAATAAATATTTTAGGCAATGTGTTGGTGATTTTACTATATTTGGAATATTTTTCTTTAATTGGTTTAATTCTTCAAATATTAAATTTGATATTTTCTTTAAAAATTCAACCATTTTAGTTTGATAATTTTTAAATATTATTTCCAAATTTAATTTTTTAGATTGATTTACATTTTCCATATTTGGTAATTTTCCAATTTTCTTTTTTAGAAATAATTTTAAAGAAACTTCCAAACTTTCATTAGAAAGTGAATCTTGTCTCAAAATTTGATTCATTAAATTATTTAAATAAGTATGTAAATAGGTTAATTCATCTTTTCTATTATTAGATTTTATAAAATTGGCAACATTTGTAAATTCAACAATTGCACCTGGATCTATAAAATCAAATTTTCTAATCATGTATGTTTCTAATTTTACAATAAATATTACAATATATTACAATAAATATTATAATATATTACAATATTGTAAAATGTATTATTAAAATAACTTACTAGGAGAAAATAACCAAACATTATTAATTCTCTTAAATCCAATACTAATACCTCCCATAAATGCAATAATACTTTCATTATCATCGATGTTATTAGATGATGATATCAGACAATCTAATACACATGAAGCATGTCCTGATAATGGAGGTGGTATATCTGTTTTACTCCAATCAGTAATATCATCACTATTATTATTATTATTAACATTATTAGTAGTAGTACTTTTATTGTTGAATGATGATGATGATGAAGAGGATGAATTTCTATTGGATGATTTTTTTGATTGTTTATTCCGATGATCATCAAATAATTTATTATTATTATTTAATGATGATGATGGTGAGGATGATGATGAATTATTTTGATGAGTTGAAGAAGTGAATGTTTTTAAATCATTGAGAGGAATGGATTGGAAGGAAATGGAAAGTGTGGAAAGTGTTTTATTTTCCATTTTTTTTGTGTTCTTTAATATTGAAATTGTAAAACATTAATAAATAGATCAATATTAAAAAAAAATATTTAAAAGCAAATATTCAAGCTTCAGTCAGCCACCAATAATCGAAAAAAATAAACATAAATAGATCAAGAAGTTGTCAAGTCGAAAAGCAAACGAGTTACAACAAATATTACTAATTGTGGAGGTGATCAATAATAATAATATAATAATAATAATATTATATAATCGATATATATATGGAGAGGGAAATATTTTCGGATGATGTTTGTTTTGAAATAATTTCCATGATTGATTCTTCGTGGTTTATTTTAAATAATTGCGCTTTCATTTCAAAACAATTCTTTAATGTGATCAAGGAACGTTCAAGCCTTGTCATTCAATTCAGAGAAAAATTTACAGAGAAACGAATTGAATTATTTAGGAAAAGTCAATTTATGAATAGAATTGTGAATCTTAAATTTTCTAATTGGTTGCTTGATGCCATTGAAAAAATCAAATTCATCACTGAAATGAAACAATTAACATTACTTGATATAGGTTACAATCAAATTGGTGTAGAAGGAGCCAAATTGATAAGTGAAATGAAACAATTAACATTACTTAATATTGGAACCAATGAAATTGGTGATGAGGGAGCCATAATGATAAGTGAAATGAAACAATTAACATTTCTTGATATTGGTGGCAATCAAATTAGTGATGAAGGAGCCAGGTCAATAAGTAAAATGAGGCAATTAACATTTCTTGATATTTATGGCAATGGAATTGGTGATAAAGGAGCCAAATCAATAAGTGAAATGCAACAATTAACATTACTTAATATTGGTGGCAATCAAATTGGTGATGAAGGAGCCAAATTGATAAGTCAAATGAAACAATTAACATTTCTTGATATTTATTGCAATGAAATTGATGTAGAAGGAGCCAAATGCATAAGTGAAATGCAACAATTAACATCACTTAATATTGGTAGCAATGAAATTGGTGTAGAAGGAGTCAAGTTCTTAAGTGAAATGCAACAATTAACATCACTTAATATTGGTGAAAATCTAATTGGTGATGAAGGAGCCAAATTGATAAGTCAAATGAAACAATTAACATTTCTTGATATTTATTGCAATGAAATTGGTGTAGAAGGAGCCAAATCAATTAGCGAAATGCAACAATTAACATCACTTAATATTGGTGAAAATGGAATTGGTGATGAAGGAGCCAAATTGATAAGTGAAATGAAACAATTAACATTTCTTGATATTTATTGCAATGAAATTGGTGTTGAGGGAGCCAAATACATAAGTGAAATGAAACAATTAACATCACTTAATATATCTAACAATCAAATTGGTGTATGAAGGAGTCAAATTATTAACATGTTAATAACTTATTGTCTTTTTTCAGTAATGCCATCTGCTTTAACATCACTGTCCATACAAGGGAATAATAGGAACCTTGTTTATGTAATAGCTCAGTTAAATGAATTCAAAGACGCAATCTGTTAATGTTTGTCTTGTCAAATTTTCAAATAATCTTTCCTTGATTTTTGTAAATTCTTCCACAATTTTAAATTGAAATGAAAACATGAAACCCATTTTGATATTTGCCTCTATTTTCGATTCTTTAACAAAATTTGAAAACATTAATTGAACTTGAAATAAATCAGGATTTGAATGAAATGGTCTAAATGATGCCATACAAGGACTCTCAATATTTCTCTGATCAGAGATGGCAATTGCTGAAGGTGAATAATTAATAATATCATCTTCTGAAATCATTTGACCATTCTTTGCTAATTGGTAAAGTACCTTGTCAGAGTATCCACCATTTAAATCACCAGATTGACATGAATCAATGTTGGTAATTGATTGGTTAAATTTCTTCCAATTTCTTTCAATTTGAAATGATAAATCTATTGGTTCAATTTCTTTATCATCATTTAAAGAATATACTACTGGATAAACTCTTCTCACACTATTCTCTTCCAAGTCAAAAATATGCCATCTCAATTCATTTAACATAAAGTATTGGAAAGTTTCAGGTTTAGATTGATTAGAGCAAGAACATAATAGATAAAATCTATCATTCAATTCACACATGATATGTTTCATATGCACTGCATCTTCATCTGAGATTGGATGTTTCTCATTTTGAGATGTACATTCTTTCAATGAGTTCCAAACCGAGTCACTTTTGTTTTCAAGTGTAAATAACAGATTTGGATAATAATCAACATTTAAAAGTTGTTTCTTCTGTTGTTTCGTCAAGTTTGGGAAATCTTTCAATGTTGAATGTTGTTTCATTGTTTCTAATAAAATTTTCCAATAATTATCTCTTGAAATTTGGCAATGTATTTGTTCAGAATCGAATTCATCGTACAAATATTCAGTCTCTAATGGAATCATATCCTTAGATTCCATCCAATATCCATTCTTTTTCAATGGAATCAGATTCATTTCATCATTATTTTCAATTAGCAAATATTGAGGAGTATAATTTGCTGGAATTACACTTTTACAATTTAGGGAAAAGACAAAACGTGGAATTGCAGATTGATTATCTAATAACAGTAATCCATATATTCTCAAATTGTAAGTATTTGAATTTGAATAATGTTCGCGATATCGTCTATTGCTCCTACAATATGTACACCTATAGAAATTAAATTGATAGGTCCAGTGGTGACAACAATCACACGGTACATATTCATAATTTTCATCAACTTCAAAGGTTTGCAATAGTGGAAAGTGTGAATTGTCCTTGATGTTTCTTGTGGGGTTGTGTTGTGGCATTTTATTTGTTGATTTTGTTTAAATATTCGAAAATAGTAGTAAAAACTTAAAGAAAATAGGAAACAAGAGGAATGAACTTCCGTTAATCTTGGTTTATGTTCCTTATTTGTGAGAAATGAACTTTAAGCGGAAAGCATTCCGTTCTTTTTACAAGTTGTAATACTTCCACCAATTTTTATTCTTAACCAAATAAAGTTTACAAAAATTATTTTATTCCATGGTGAAGGTGGAATTATTAACAGGACAAATAGCTCAAAAACAAAACTGCAAAGATCACTTCCGGGTTTTTTACAGCAATCACCTTCCATGACCCTAGCCTGCAGCTTCTCCTCCATAAGTGATGTGTTTTAATTGCAGTGTGATTGCTGAGAATATTAATCATTGGTAGAGCATCTGTAAAATTGTTTGGAAAAAATAATCGTAACTTTTGGTTAGAATCAATTAAGTAATAAAACGAAAAGAAGAGACTGCATTGTTAACAATAACTATTACTGCAATATGATATTTAACTCTCGCCTCTAAACTCTTTTATTTACAATTATACAGTGTGGTATGGTGATTGATACTGTAGTGAGATAGATCTACAACAATTAATTACTAGTAATATTACTATACAATTCAATAAATTGTTGATCTAACATTCTCACTTTACTTCCAGCAAATCGTCTATATTCATCGAAAATACTTGTGAGTGACCAATTTTGAGTCTTCCTCAAACATCCAACCAGAACACCAGTTCTATGTTTTCCCTTGTTGCAATGTATTAAAATTGGATGATTTTTAGGATTTAATAATTCTGTAATAGCCTTTCTGATGGCATCTTCTGGTATGTGTACAAATGGTTCCTTGTTTCCTTCAATACCAAATTGAAATATTCTAATTCCAACTTTTCTACAAAATTCCATATTATTATGAGCATATTGTTCAGGACAGAGGTAACAAATTGATTTGAGTCCAATCTTCTTGAGGAAGGGAAAATTCTTCTTGTTTGGATATCCTGATCTAAATACACCAGGCATTACCATACAAAAATTAATTGGTGGAATTAATATTTCCTCTCTTCCTATTGGATTAGGTGGTGCTGTTGATGATAAAAATGTAGAGGGAATTATGACAGAATCTAAACTTGTTTCCTCTTGTTTTTGTTGTTGTTGTTGTTGTTGTATTATTGAATCATGATTATTATTTTTAATTGATGATGATATAGATGATAATGGTGATGAATCTATTGTTGGTGTGCTAATTTGTTTTTCCTCTTCTACTACTAACGAATTTGAAGCAGCATCTTTAGACATTTTTTATTTAAATTAATTTACAATTAAATATTAAAATCAAACTTTACACAACTGGATCAATTGAAATATAAGTCTCACAAGTACCAATTCCTTTCACTTTGACACCAGTTCTATGGGTAAACTTAGAGGCAAGATCTTGTGGTAATTTTTCATATGTTTTTGTACAAATTTGAAGGTGATTAGTAAGACTTGTAGATTGCATTCTTGAAGCAAAATTTACAGTAGCTCCCCAAACGTCATAAGCAGGCTTCTTCTTACCGACAATACCAGCAACAACTTCACCTGTACTCAAACCAATTTTAACATTCACTTTGAATTTAGATGTTTTGTTCATATCAGAAACAATTTGTGCCATTTCAAAGGCTCCTCTTACTGCATTTTCCGCAAAATTATTATTCTGTTCTGGTAAACCACTTGCCAACATATCTATTTCTCATTAGAATCCAATTGAATTGAAATACTTACAATTATCACCAATGGTTTTGATCTTTTCCAATTGATATTTTTGTATCGTAACATCAAACTTTTCGAAAATGGAATCCAAAAAGCTTATCAGATTCTTTGGAGAAATTTCCATTGACAATTGGTTAAAGTTCTCAATGTCACTAAACATGATTGTTGCTTGATCGTGGAAGTCGTGAATAAGATCACCATTTACAACTCTAGAGGCTATAGAGGCTGGGAAAATTTGTTCAGCCAAGTGTTTGTACTGTTCTGTCTTTGTAATGACGGCTGTCATATCTCTGGCAAACCCAAGGAAAATTCTTTGGTCCTTGTCATCTTTGATTTCAGTAATTTTAAGTTCAACAGGAAAAATTTCTCCTGATTTTCTTTTGCCATTAACAACTCTGGTTTTGTCAACAACTCTCTTAATACCAGTCTTGATGTATCTGTTCACAAAGGCATTGTGATTGATAGCAATTTCATCAGGCATAATTACCGTCAGTGAATTGCCAATAATTTCACTTGCTCTAATACCAAAAACATGTTCAGCAGCAGGATTCCATGTGTTAACAATTGATAGAGTATCAATGGCAACGATAGGAATTGTTGAAAGTTGTGTTACTGCACTGTGGAACTGGAATGATTGTTGTTGAACTTCCCCTTCCTCAGCAGTATTATTTCCTTCATTATTTTCTTCTCCAATTAAACTCTTTCTATCCATACTAGCCTGACTGTTACCATCACCATCCTCGTCATCGTCTTCATTGTCATCAGCAGCTGCAGCATTCTGATTCTTTAAAACATCTTCAAAATTACTTCCTTTCTGCATACCTTCAGGTTGAAGATAACAAATGAAGAATGGTAAACCATTTTTGATCATTTCGGTAATTCGTACACCAACCTTCTTGATCGGAGTTTTTGGATCCTTAATATCATACACAACCTTTTCTGCAAGCATTGATTTAGATCTAAGCTGCAAGTAATCTCTAATTCTTTTCTGAAGTTCACCTGCACTATTTTCATTCAAAATAAGGCAAACATTCTTCGACTGCAAATCTTTGAGGGATTTTCCAAACAATTCCTCACCGAAACTATTCATTGAATGAATATTTGTTTTTGTATCTACAACGAACACTGGACACATGCAAGCAGAGATATGTTCATCCATTTGGAATGCTGGTTCTCCTTGTTCTCCATCATTATATTCTTCAACACCATCAAATTCATCTTCTGTTGGGAGGTCATCCTTGAAATCCACTATTGGTTTGTTATTGTTCATTTCCTCAATGTCATTATTTTGAGGAACATTATTTATATTGTTATTGTTGGTATTATTAATATCTTGTTTTTGAATATTATTATTTACTGGAGGATTAGAAGAAGAAGATGTTGTCGATGGATTTTGTTGTTTCTCTGGGATATACTTTGGTTGATCCTCATAAGTCTTTGTTTTTTGTACATTAGCCTTTGTGTCGTTCTTACTAGCAACGTTATTATCCTTACTATTGTCCTTCTTTTGAGAGTTTCCTTGAGGTGGTTTGCTAACAATCGCTCCCATCGTGTAGTGTTTTTTTCTGTAGTTTTTGTTTGCGGGAAAATGGTTATTGTAGTGGTTGATTGTTTGAAAGGCAGTGATGTTGCTTTTTGTTCGCCACGCTGGTCCATAATAGACTACCCACAAACTATCTCTTAAGCTGTCTATTGATGTGTTTTGACTTGATGGTGGCTCAACAAACGGTACAGTGAAGGGAATAAGGAAATTGGGGAGGCTTTATTTGTTATGACCATATGTTCACTGTAAATGTTCTATAAATGTTCTGTAGACATAGGTATGATTCTCATTCAACTTTTATATTAAAAGGAAAGAGTTTTAATCAAGTTCAATGGCTATATGAGACAATGATGAATTCTTCTGCCTCATTCTTTAATGAAGGAAGTAATCTTAAATTCATCCATTCATCAATCTCTCATCTTCCACTATATGTTGTCAACATTTTAAATATCAGTAACAACACCATTACTCATTGAACTGATGGTACTTCTTGTATCTGAATCATCATCATTTTTTTTCTTTCTAAAACTGAATACAGTACTAACACTTCTCACACTCTTTGTTAAACTTCTTAAATAGGTTTTGGCATCAAAATTTCCTTGATTTGCTGCTTTTCTATACCATTCCAATGCAACCTTTTCAGATTTTTCAATTCCACCCACTCCTTTCAAATAGAAATTAGCCAATTCACATTGAGCTCTGTCATTTCCTTGTAGAGCTGATTTTTGGAACCATTCAAATGCCCTTGTTAAATCCTTCTTTACAATTCTATTACCATCTTTACAAAATAATCCTAATTTACATTGAGCATCTGCATCAGATTGTTGAGCTGCCTTTTCAAAACATTCTAATGCCTTCTCTAATGATGCTGTTGTACCCTTTCCTAATTCATACATTAATCCTAAATTGTAAAAAGCTTCTGGAACATTTTGCATTGAAGATTTTTCATAATATTCGAATGCAATTGAATAATTTGATTGAATTCCAGCAAATGTTGGAGAATTTGGAATTCCCTGTTCATATAAAACACCAATACTATATTGAGCATGAGCATGTCCTTGATCAGATGATTTCTTATACCATTCAAATGCTTTCTCTTGAGATTCTAATAGAAATTCACCTTCCTCATACATGATTCCAATTCTATATTGTGCATCTGAATTACCTTGGAGTGCTGATTTTTCAAACAACTCGACTGCCTTTTCTAAATTCCTTGAAATATTGGAATTTCCATTGTAATAAATTAGACCAAGATTATATTGAGCAGCTGAATGACCTTGTTGAGCATAATTTTGTTGCATTCTCATGTTGGTGGTCAATTGAGTTTTCAAATTTTCAAGATGAAACTCTTCACATATTTTACACATTTTACAATATGTGTAAAAAGTCATATCACTATCGTAAATACCATATTTAAACCAATCTAAAATGTATGTAAAACATTTTGGGTCACAATCAATAAAATAAATTGGCGAATTGTCAAGAATTTGGTCTTGATTCATCACTTTGACATTTGTCATAGATTGATGGATTGACTTTTGACTAGTTATCATTGAATTTAATAAATTATTTGGTTCTCTATTATTATTAAACGTAAAAGATGCAACCGACATGAATTTACCACCAACATTTAAATTTACTATTTGGTCAACTAATTTTTCGTTATTTTCTTGCATTGCCAATTGTTAACAGTAATATATTAGAGCGGAGATTGTGAATTGAAAGTTGAGTATTTTTTTTGTGATTTTCAAAATCATAATAAAAAACCTTCTTGGCACTACTTATTACCAAATAGGAAATTAAATTTTATTGGAGTGTCATGAAGGGTCCAAAATTTTGTTTCATTCTCATTAGGATGTTAAAAGATTTTTATGGAAAAATGTGAGAGGAATCGAAAGAATTCAGTAAGAATTGGTTTAAGGCATTTGGCAGTTGACAAAAAAAGTAAAATAATTGAATGAGATTATATTTGTTTCATTTCAACATTTGTAGCTGGCATTACATTTCCATTACTCAAATTCTTATGTGAATATTTTCCTGATAATATTTTCACCACAATTGCAATAATAATGATCAGTAATAATAATAAGGGAATTAAGGAAAGAAATGCTAAATAAGCTAAATTATTAGAAGGTGTTGGTTCTGAAAGTGTTGTTTGTCTATCAACAAGGACATTTAATTTAGCTTCTTTCCACATTATAGGTTGCATTAACATGACATTTGACTTGTCGTCATAAACAATCATTTTGGCAATTGCTTGAGTTTCATCTCCAAAACTCATTTCATGATAAATTATTCTATTCTGCACTGATATAGATCTATATAATTCCAAACTTTGATAATATGAAATTTTGATATAGCTCATCACATTCTTACTTGATTGGGGATGTGTGAAATAATTTTCTGGGAAAAGAGCTTCCAATCGAACAGTTTCTCTCAGTTTAGCAGACGAAACATTCCATCTCAGTATTATTTCATCACTGTTAAAACCTTTAAATTGACATTGTTGACCTACAAACGTTGGTTGACAAGAACAAGTTCCATTCAATTGACAATTTCCATTTCCTGAACAAACTTTTGAATCTGAAAATGAAATATTGTAACATGAATATGGAATTGAACAATCTAGACCTGAATACATGACATTTGAACATTGACATTTGTTGTAATCGACACATATTCCATTTTGGGAACAAACAGCATTATCTGTTGCATTCAATCCAAAACAAATTGGAATTCTACATTCAGGACCTGTGTACATTGTGTCATTGAAGCATTTACATGTATCCACATCAATACATTTGCCATGTCCACCACCACAAACATATGGATCATCACTGGACATATCAAAACAAACAATCTTTTCACAATTCACACCACTATATCCATGTTGACATTCACACATATCAAAATCATAACATTGTCCATGTCCAGAACAAACACTTGAATTGGTTGAACTAATTCCAAAACAGGAAGGTGATTTTGGAAGTGCCAACTTTCTAAGATACATATTATCTGCAATGAATAAATCACCATCTGCATTAATGGTCATAGTTTCAGGTCCTATCAATGTCGTATCTGTACCCAATTGATAATTCATTGTTGGATTGGAACTTTGTCCATTTCCTGCTATGGTAATAATACTTCCATTGAGAAGAACTTTGAAAATTCTATAATTGTCTCTATCAGAAATGAAGATTTCTCCTTCATCATTAACAACTACACTTGTAGGACTAATCAGATTCAAATAATATTGAGTAAACACATTTTCCGACTAAACTTACCTTTTAAGGGAAGCATCAATGGCCAAAATTCCATCTTGAAAATCATCCAAAATCTCATTGGAAAATCTTGTTGGTTGTGGAGCAGGAGGTGAATAGATACCATTTCCTGCAACTGTTGTAATGGTACTATCATTTGCTGAAATCTTTCTAATTCTTCCATTTCCAGTATCTTTTTCATATTCGAAACTTTGAACAGTTCAACAACTTACCTGCAATGTAAATATCACCAGTTGATCGATGATAAAATCCACCAGCTGGATTAGCCAACTTGGCATATTCTGGTAAACCATTATCACCACCATATCCAATTGAAGTTCCACAAAAATCTGAAATTATTCCACTTTGTAAATCAACTTTTCTAATTTTGGATGAACCACTCTCAACTATATAAATCATATTTGAATAATCACCAAAAACTTGAACTGGTCGATTTAACATGGCACTTGTTGCTGGTCCACCATTTCCTGAATTTCCCAAACGTGAAATGCCAGCAAATAATATTTGTTGACCTGTTGTCACATCCATTTTGTAAACATTATTGTAAAACACAACTGCATAATAAATATTACCAGAATCGTCAACAAATAACCCACGCGGAACATTAACCATCAAATTTCCACCAATATAATCAATAAATTTCGTATACAATTGACGATCCCCAATTGAGTAATAAATCTTTCTTAATAATCCACCTTGCACATCACCAATATAAATATCCTGATGATTATTAATCTTGGCTGATTTGGAATTTATAAATGGAAATATGTATTGACCATATGTGGCATCGATAGCTCTAATTCCATCACCTGATGAAAAAGAATGACCATTACCAACATAGGTATCAATTATTTGAGTTGGAATGTTGATTCTTCTTACTCTCAATTGACCAGTATCTAAACAAATTAGTTTCGTATAACAAAATTCTATTAGAAATAAAGACATACCTCCAATATAGATAAATTGATCATCTTTCGAAATGTAAACATCTTGAGGAAGCATAAAAGAACTTGTCAATGCATTCATGTTATCTCCATTGTAACCTTGTTGTCCATTTCCCGCCACAAATCTCAAATAACCATCTTTATCAATTTTCTTTACTTTTTCGTTTGAACTTTCCACCCAGAAAACTTCGCCTTGTGAGTTTAGTTTAACTCTTCTTGGTGTGAAAAGTTTGGCAGTTGAAGCTAGGACATTTTGATCATCACCAAGTTTACCACTGATACCTGCTAGTGTTGAAATTATTCCATTAGAATCTATCTTTCTAATGAGATAACTATTTGTATCTGAAATAATATTCGAAATGTTGTGAATTTAAAAACTAACCTGCAATGTAAACTTCATTCTTCTTCTCATCGACATAAACTCCCTGAGGCATTGCTAAGAAGATTTGAGTTGCCAAATTACCAGTGTTAACCAGTTTACCATTTCCAGCAATTGTGTAAATTTTCCCATTCGAAACTTTCTTAATCTTTGCATTTAAAGTATCACAAATGTAAATCTCTTCCTGTTGATTTACATAGATACTATCTGGTGTATTCAAGACAGCTCCAAGTGCAGAATCTCCATCCATAGAATCACCTACATTCGAATAAAATTAACATTCGTCCGTATATTTCTCTCAACAACTTACCATTACCACTCTCACTTCCAGCAACTGTTTCCAAACTTCCATCATTCAACACCTTAACAACATAATTCTTCATTACAAAGTAAACAATTGGTGGTAAGTAAATACTCTTCTCTAAAACAAATATATGATTTGGTTCGTAGGGAGTTTTCATCAAGGTTGAAACGATTCCAATCTTGGAAACCTTTCGAATTCTTTTGGAGGTGTATTCAGCAATGTACATGGTACCATCAGATGTAACATGAATTCCACTTGGACTATTAACACATGTAGTATTACCATAATAACCATCTCCACAATTATCTGTTCCACTAATTGTTGTTAGCATGTAATTATTATCACTACCATTGGACAATGAAATTAACATGGTTGCAATAACCAACAATAGAGATAATATGACAATGATTGGCCATGATAATTTTCTTCTTCTTCTTGTTGAATAACAAGCATTTCGGATAAAAGAAACACTCATTTCTCTTTAATGTGAAAATGCAATATTACACACAGTTGTTCAGATGTTTTTTTGAGTTGAGTAACAATTAGGTTCTGAACAAAGATCTTTAAAAGTGTCTATTGGATTGAGTGCGCTTGTGGTTTCATCCATTTATCCAGCAATGTGAGCGAACCATTTCACTGAAACCTTTCATTTATGAAAGTCTATTTAGGTAAGTCAGGATTACATTTCATGTTTTTATCCGGTCGAGTACTTTACAGTTCTTGAAATTAAATGTTCATTCTTGTACTCAAACTAAAAAAGGTCATTTGTGAGTGAATATTCAATTGAGTAATTCTTTTATTGAGATTGAGGTACGAATTATTCTCCTTGTTGTTGGACTATTGGTTGAAAGAGTGTTGCTATGCATTACAAGAGTGGATGTTGTTGGTATTGATAATGTTTCAATAAAATCTTGTGTAGTATTAGATACACAATTTGATGAAGTGGATGAGATTGGTGAATGACTTGATTGTCTCTTATTTACATATTTTGGGGTGGAATATTTTGAATGATGAGAAGGTGAAATGTTCTCAGCATTGAACAATGAATTAAGTGAGCTAGAGGAAGAACATGATAATGATGGTGAATTACAATGGGAAGGAGCAACAATATTTGAATTGTTTAAAAGTACAGGAACAGCTGGAATAATATGAGTTGTGGAGCTTACTTTGGATGATAATGTAGCAGATACTACAGATGGTAAATAGGAACAAGATAACAAGCTATTATTAGATGTAGCTTTCTTGTTCTTCTGCTTGGTAATTCCAGATGAGAGACGAATCTCACTCTCATAAGGATAACATTGAGTTTTTGCTTGTGAATAGGAAGAGTGGGAGGAAGCATTGAACATTTCAGTCTTGGTTATCATCATTTTCACAGACGAGCTGTTTGGATTCTTGGCTGGTCGTCCTCTCTTTCGTGGCATTTCAGGATTGGAAGATAAGGAAGATGATAAAGGATTGTTGTATTGTCCAACACAAGTATTGTGCTGCTTTGAAGGGGTAGCAAATTCAACGACGGAAAACTTGGTATAGCAACCAGGCATTTGTGTCGATTTGTTTTTTTTTGGATTTGTCTTGTTGGTCTTCGTTAATTGGAATGAGTGATATTTATACAGATTGGCAGCCTTAATAGTAAATATATAGATAGAGGGAGAGATTATTCTGCTGATGTGCTATAATAAATTGTACGAGAGTCAAGAATCAGGGACGACTTTTGGTTAGAGAGTTTCAATTAAGGATTAATGAGCTTGACTGCGAATGCGATGAGACTCCCTATAACGCCTTAATAGATTTGTTTAATGCCAAATAGGAAATGCATTTTTATGCTCAGCCATTTATGGTGGTGTATATGGCCATTCAGAGATAAGGCACAAACTGTACTTTCGGATGACGTAAGGAGGAAAATTGGTCCATCTATGGCTTTGAATCTTTTGAATTTGCGTAGTAATTTAAATATTAAATGAACTACCATTTGTTCACTATGAATAATTCATTTAAGATTCGCTGTATAGATATGGATTCAAAACGCAAGACCGATAGATTGCATTTATAAATCTATATTTGAAGGTTTGCTCGCTCATCTGTTCTTACGATTGATTCTAAGTGTAAAGTTTGTTTCTGTGGCATCATCATTCATCTATCAATAACCATAAATTATACAATGGGTACAGTTTAAACCTTGGATGCGACCATTTCTACTATTCATGAAGTTTCAATCCAAGGTTTGTTTCAAAACATGGAATGTTCCTTCGTTGATATCTCGATAGTTTCAAATGTAAGATTCATTATTGTGAAACATTGGAGAGAGTACCGAGTGATCTTCTCTTCTTATTTTCATATTCCTTGTACCACATGCGATTCAATTTGGCATTTTCCTCAACTGCCCTAAAGTATTGGAAATGGTCATTAATTTGTGCTGGATCCATATTAACAGTTCCACCTCTAGTGTTTAAATGTAACAATTCTTCAAAACTCTGTTGTAATTGTTTGGATCTCTTCTTCCAAATTTTACCAAGTACCATATCTGAATCGAATGGAATGTGTAAATCAGTATAAACTGTATGGATGAAACGTGTTGATTTCTCACCAGTTCCAAAGAACATGTAATTGAAGAGAATTTCAGCATCAACTCTATGTTCCTTATTCTTTCTCAAATCTTCTTCAATTTTGCAAGTGTGGCCAATATTCATATAACAATTGACACTTTCATCATAAATTGAAGTCATGGTGTGAGGTAAATCTCTATTCTTGAATAAACTCAAGTTCATTAAAATTCCCAATTCACCAATTTGAAGAGCCAGTGGTGGATGTTCAGTGGTGTAAATGTTATCTCTATGGTCGTATGCTAAATGATGTGATTTGAGCAAATCATTGGAAGTCTTATTACATGGTGAAATGTATTTCAATAATTTAAAATCATCCATTAAGGTGTTATCCAATTTGAAACGAGTATTCATATCACAATATGTTGTCCAAACATCTTTAACTGAATATGGCAGATGCATTACAATCTTGAACAGTTTCATTCCCTTCATTCTATCCTGACCTATCGAATAGGATGTTTTTGAGACGAATGTTTGCAGTGGATTTGGCTTTTCATGATAGGAAAGTTCTTTCCAATCAGGTGTGTCTTCACTCAACGTATAGGCAAAGAAAATGTCCTTCTCTGTCATGAGTTGAGATTGAAAATCTTTTGGTTTGAATCGAATATCAACATTGTAACCATTAGAAACATTAATGGCAATAGTTCTTGTGTAATCTTTACCCTTCTTTGATAAAAACTTGTGTAATGTAGCAGATCTTACATATCTCGGAAATTGGTCATAACTGTTATTCATTAAATTATTATACATCATTGTAAATAAAATTGTAAACTATTTAACAACTCACCTCAAATCCAACATTACTTGATATTCAACCTTTCCAAACAATGCATGTGGTTCCAAATAATCAATCATCAACATGACATAATATTCATAATGATTATTATTCGAATCATTAACCTTCTCCAAACAATTTGTTACATTCTCCCACATGTTCAATGTAGAATCAATTACAACCTGACTCAAATTCAATCCCTTCGGTCCATTGCCAAAATATGTACTAATTATTTGCTTGGCAACACTCACTAGATGGAGCACCTTCTTTACACATTCATTCTCCTTCCTCTCAACACCACCATTAGAAACTACCAACAGATTATCTTTAGTCTTGTGATAATCCAACTTGTAATGATCGAGAGAATTGAGAAAGAGCAATGGTTCATCATTGTGTTGAAATCTGAGAAATTCTATAAAGTTTTCACGTGCCTCTGGTGCTTTCATCACCTCCTCAAATACAACTGCATAGTGAGCAGGAATAAACTTTGACATTTTTTGTTGTCGTTTCGTTATCGACGTCGTGGTTATTAGAAGAAGATAATCTGCTGCATTTGATGGGTTCACTGAATTTTTGTTCTCTATTAGAAAGGTTAATCTCTAAATGGTGTATCCATTACAATCTAATGATAATTTAGCTTCGCAAAATACAATAACAATATTTGACCATTAATATCCAGGTGTTTCTCTTTAGAATGTATGTCTCGTAAAGTCTTCAACACGATGAATTGTGCTGTTAAGACGGCAGCAGTCTGGACATAAGATGATTTTTGGTTCTTAGATTGTAATGTATGAAATTCTCATGTAAATCTTAAAAAGGTTCGTGTCGGACCTGATTGGGTTATTCAGGTTTATCTTCGTGATAGAGATTACAATGAATTTGTTATCAAAAAAGACAAATATTAATTAAAATATTATTTGATGAGTAAGCTTCATCTCTGTTTGTTGCGGTTAAAGTTATCGTTAGTTTTTTTGATTAAATTTTTTAAAATAAAATAATTATTGAAAAAATTACTCTCCTTTCAACATGACACCATGGTTGGAGCAATGAAATTTTAGTAACAGTTTTTACAAAGACTTCCTTTAATTAAATTTTTCTTTGATTCAGCTCCGGTGTGTTTGTTGATTAAATCTCTGCATGAAGAAAACCATCAACTAACGAAAACATTTACCAAACAATAATAAAAAATGTACAACATTTTCCTACTCTGTGTTGGCATTATTTCTTGATGAATTATTACACACTCTAAGGCTGATAGTTACATCTTATCGGAGGAAAGATATTTTGTTCATTATTCCTCACAACATTTAGCCAAGACAATGTAGTAACAAAAAACAATTTGTACCAACTCTCTCGATTGTTGAATATTCCAAGATGATTCACTGAAGTTTACCATCTTCTCAATGTCATCATCCATATTCACTGCCAACTATCAGCTGTAGAACTTTCAGAAAAAAATGGTCATTCGTACAGAATCTTCAACGTCTCTGTCGAGTGTATTACACGAAACATCATCCACCAATGGATCAGTTTCCAATAGCACATCTAGTAGTGCTTCTTCATCATCCTTCACAAATACAAGTAATACACTCAGATATGGTGATATTATTTCATTGGCTATTTACTTTAATCCAACCATTCAATCATCACAACAACAACAACAAACAATTTCATCATCATCCTTTGATAAATTAAATAATTCAATGATGGATATTTTACATGATAGAAATTCTACTACAACACCATCAACACCAACTTCCAACTCTCCATTTCCATCATCACCATCCGCACCTACTACCACTACAACAACAACAAGCCTTGAACAAATTGTTGGGTTTTTATCGATAAAGGGTTTACCTGGTCATACAAGATGTGGTCTATCTGTTGATGAATCAATTTTAAAGTCTTTTGACAATTCATTGTTTATGGTCTGTCAAGGAGATACTTATACAGCAAGAAAAAAGTTTAACAAATTTCAAAGTCATCTTCAAAGTTTACAAAATTCCAATAATAATGGTGCTGTCAATCATGTTAATAGTACTAATAATTTGAATGCTAGTAGTTATAGTTTTGGATCTTCATTTAAAAATCAACAAGTTAATACTAATAACAAACAACAAGTAATGATTAATAATTTAAATTATCAAAATCAGTTAAATGAATTGAAGGAACGTATGAATCGTGAAGATCAGGAAAATACAATTGAAAAGGAAAGATCGTGGGGTAAACCTATACTTTATGGTCAACGTATTCAATTGTATCATATCAAATCTGGCATGTATTTAAATGTACTGAGATCGAATGCTGATTTGGAAAAATCTTCATTGAAATTATCTTTGAGTGAAGGTGATAGAATGTGTCATTTTCAATTTGCTCCACACTTTAAATTCAGAACAGAAGGAGAACCAATTCGTTTGACTGATAAGGTTATTATTATGAATGAAAAAACCAAACATTCTGTTCACATTTCACACTACAAGTATGTGAGACCAATTATTGTTAGAGATTTTGATAGATATGAAGTGAATGCTAGTAGTCATCCTGGTGATAATATTTGGATTTTAAGATTGTACAGATCATACCTTCCTATGGATCAATTATTTATCAAGGGAGGCGATACAATTCGTATTGTACATCGTGACTTGTTGGGTGCTCTCTATCATCCAACTCCTTCTATTGAGAATACATCTGCTACTGTAGTTTCAACACCAACAACATCTTCAGACGAAAGTTGTTCACTCAACTTGAATGGTAAATATAGTAGCTCTAGTATTACTACTCTATTCCAAATTGAAGGTCTTGATAGTTCGAGAGGTGGAATCATGTACTATGCAACTCCTTGTAGATTTAAACACGTTTCTACAGGTAAATATATTGCTGCTAAACAAGTCGAAGTTCCTGATATTGAAGGAAACTCAGGTTCTCTTATTGGAAATAGTAACAACAATACAGCAACTACTACTGGTGCCACCAATAATACTGCCACATCAACCAATACAGTAAGTGCAGCTAGAAGTGGTTGGAGAAATTTACGTCGTCGTGTTAAAATCAAATTGAAATTAGTCTTGACAGATAATCCTAGAGATGAAGCTAGTGTATTCTATTTGTACTCTTCCGAGAATTCTAATCAATTCACAACTTCTGATCCAATTCTTGGCCAAAGTTTACTTCGTATCAAACATGCTCAATCCAATACATGGCTCAGAGCCAACGATTTGAGTAACAAGATTACTTTTAATAATAGCAATAACAATAGTAATAACTTGATGGAATTATGGTTTGACTTGATTCAAAGAGAAAAAGACGTATTTTCAATGGAACATGTTAATAATACTTTCCAAATTAACTTGATCAAGGAAATTTATCCAATTCTAACAAATTTTGATATTAATTCTCATTATCAAAGAAATGACATTGACATTTTGTTGAATGCTCTCAAGTTAGTCATTTATTTATGTACAGATTCGATACAAGAAGATCCATTGAAACGTGAAGGGTCTCCTCATACTGAAATTCAGAACCACTTTAAAGAAATGAATATTATTGATGCCATCTTTACAATTATAGATTTATTAGATAACAATAACAATGCTATCAAAATGACAAGCACCCCTAGAGACTCATCTCCAATGTTACGTCGTTCTAGTATGCTGACTGATAACAATGAAACAACTGTATATAGTACGAGATTTAATAGTATTCTTGTACAAATGTGCTACAGAGCCATTAAGCAATTGGCTAAACAAAATATTGTCAACTGTACACATGTGCTAAATAAGTATTTTACAACCATGCAAGATCACTTGTCGAGAGACGTTGGAGGTCAAGAGGTTTCTAATGCTCTTGTTGAAATTATTCACAACAATATGGAAGTTTTGGAACAAATTCCTAGTGAGAAGATTAATCACTTTTTCAAATTGATTACCACTAGACAAAAGAAACCACTTTTTGTTTCCTTTTTGTCTAATCTGTGTAGATGTGGAGAAAGACCGGTTACAAAGAATCAAAAACATCTTGTCATGCTTCTTTCTGAAATTGATTGTAGAAACGTTTTCTATCTTCCAGAATATGATGATAGAGATGGTAAAATTTATGTTTACTGCAATGATGTGGATTCTATTGAATCTGAATCTCAAGTAGCAATAGATGAAGGAGTTACAGTCATTGATGAAACCAAAAAGGCAGAGCGTATTCTCTTGTCGGAACTTTCATCATACAATAACCAAATGTTTAGAATTTTAATAGAAGGACTAAGCTTGTTATCTTCTTTATGTGTTGGTAGACATTTGGCAGGTATTAACTATGTTTCTGAATTATTACCATTGGACTTGGTTATGGGAGTTGTTGAAAACGAATCTTATGGTATTGAGTTGAGAAGTGCCATGTGTGAAATCTTAGAATACTGTTTCCTTGATAACACCTCAACTGGTGAGTGGCCTGCAATTAACCTGAGTCGTCCACTCGATCATGGCAATGCAAGAGAGGGAGCTAGAAATACCCAAACATCATCTAATAAGAAGGGTCAAGTTGAATTTGTTGACTATAGAAATAGATTTAAATCATTGAGATTATTTTTAATTGAATTCTTCCAAGCCAGTAAGAATTATCAATTAGAAGCAGAAAGAACACCACTCATTTACAATTTAGTCAAAATCAGCTACAAATGCCTAATTTACCGTATTTTTAATCCATATGGCAACGATAGCGATTCACTCCAATTAAAGGCTAAGCTGGAACCAACTAATGCACCAATGTCTAACTCTGAAAGCTTTAAACTAATTGTAGAAGGTCAGGATGAGTACTTGTACTCCATGAAGGAAATGGAAGAATTCTTTAGTGCTTTATTGAAGACTCTTGATTCAACCAATGATAAGGGTGATAGAGCTACCATGTTTGATGACATTGAACAAAATTTAAATACCATGAAGATTAAGAAGAAGATTCTTGATATTTTCCTCTATGCTATGGATTTAAGAATTGACTATAGAATTTCTCTTATTATTACTGCCTACAATGCAAGAAACAAGATACTTATCACAGAAAATCAATTGAATGAATTCATCAAGAAAACAATTTATCAACCTGTTAACTTTTTCCAATTTGATAATGACAGCAGTGGCTCATACAAGAACTTTGCATTCCCACTTTTAATTTTATTTAAATATCAAAATAGAGAAATTCCAGAAACAGCTTTGAAACTTTTGCAAAGATCTTTCAATCAAGCTAAGGAATTGAAAGAAAATTTACAAAAGGTTTCAATTTTAATTTCACAAAAATCAAGAAAGGCTTATCAATTGATTTATGCACTCTTTAATAGAATTCAAGTTCTTGTTTCTACAAGTACCTTCACCGGAGGTGATACATCTCCTGATTTTACCCTATTCAAAGACACTTGCTCTCAGTTAGGAAAATTAATGAAGGAAATTAAGGGTACGAAATCAGCATTCCGTAATCTTGGAGGCCATGAGCTTATCCTAAAGTGTTTGAGTACTTCATATCCTCAATACATCAAGGATAGGTTGAGTTTGTGCTGTATTGAATTGTTGACCGAGTTTGTAAGAGGGGACCAGAAGAATCAATTGGAACTCTTTAGAGAATTCAGATTCTTATTGGAAATCATGTCAAATCAACTGGATACAACCGAGTTGTTGACAGAAATAGTACGTGAAAATGATCAAATCTTACTTTCAATGATCGACCCATTACTGATTAAATTATACTTGGAAAAAATAATATCAGTAGGTGCCAAGTCCTATCATTTAAACTTTTTACGTATCTTGACATGTGACTCTATGGGACATTCAATTCCTGCCAATCAAAACGAAATTATTAATAATTTGAAAGAAGATTACCGTTCAATGATTGTTCTCTATAATGAAGAAGACTCAATGAAGGAACGTGAACGAATGATCAAAAATAATGACCATCTTATTATTGGATCTGATTTGAATTACCATATTAACCTTTTATATTTGTTGAGAGATTGTACTCGTGACAAGGTTGGTCTTGCTGAAGGATCTGTACAGGCTATTTTACCATTCTCTGAGATGTTGTCTCATTTGACTGACTGTTATCTTATTCCTCCAGTTAGAGATCCAATGATGAAACTTTTGACAGAGTTGTACTTTATTACTGAAAAAGAGTCCACTCAAGATTTGTCTGATGTTAAAATTTGGAAACTTTTCCAAAAAATCAATGTTGAAATATCAACTTGGCTTCAAAATGATGGTTGTATGAGATATCCAAAGGAATTTGAAGATGCATACTATTCTAAATATCCAGGAACAGAGATTCGAACTGTTTCAACTAATAACACAAATCAATCAAATTCTGATGAAACTAACAGTGAGGAGGTATTCAAGCGTGCATTCTTCAATGGATCTGATGAAGAAATATTTGTCAATGATATTTACATTTTCAAAGTTTTACTTCCTTTCATTGAAAGCTTCTTTGAAATGGTTTTCAATAAGGATGTTAAAAAAATGTTGTTGCAAAAGGAAAATAAGGAAGAAATCAAGACCATTATTTATGATTTATTGAATAATATCACCCAAATTTACCTACATTGCTCATCCCATCGTGAAGATGTCAAGAGATGCCACATGTCCATTCAAAAGATTATGATAACATCCGACATTGATGTGGACAGCAAATTCAAGCAACTTACCAAATTGGCTTTGGCTAAATCATCTACTGCCATGATGATCAAACAAGAATCTAATAAGGTTATGAAGCAAAAATATGCTGTTAAGAATATTGAAGAAGATTTCTTGCTCAAATACAAGAATTTCCTTGAAGAACTTGAAAAGAAAGGATTCTTCAAAGAGAAGGAACAATCTGATTTACCAAAGTTTGCTCAATTGCTGCAATCACATATTGAAGAATACTTACCAAGACTTGTTATGGTTCTTAAAATAATGATTGAAAATGGCGTCACAAGAGAAATGCAAGAAACATTCTTGGATTCAATTTCTACAATTGGTGCCATAGTACAACAGTACAATGCCAAGGAGGATTATAACTTCTCTGTACAACATTCCATTCCTGAATTGGTTCTCTTTTTGATTTGTTCAAGCAATAATGTATTTTCCAAACATGGTTTGGAGTTGGGAATTTCAACACTTGATGGTGGTAATATTGAAAATCAACAACTTTATAATCGTCTCTTGAGAAGTGGAAATTATGAAAATTTCTTTGTGTCTATCAAGAACAAGATTAAACAATCCATCTTGGAAGAAAAAGAAATGAGGAAGAGAGGAGCAACAAAATTGACAACCGAGTTGACATCCTATGCATGGGAGGTTTTAAGATTCTTACAATTGTTGTGTGAAGGTCACAACTTGGAGAATCAGCAAATGTTGCAAGATCAATCATCATTCAACAGAATGAGTATTGATCTTGTCAGTGAGTGCATAGAATATGTGATCCACTTGTTCAAATATCTCAGTGCTTCCAACATTGACAAGGTTATTCAGGCCTTCAACTCTTTGAATGAATTTGTTCAGGGTCCTTGTGAACAGTCAATCCGTACTCTTTCATACTCATCAGGTTTATTTACAGTATTTAATGACATTGTTGAAAATGATATCATGATTGACAAGTCTTTACAAACTGAACCAACTGGAGCTTCTTTTGCAATGCATCAGTCACGTTCCACTTTCCTTCTCAAACATCAATCTATGGCTAATCAAAATGCTAATCTGAAAGCTGTAGAATTGGTGGATCACATTACACTTAAGAAGGAAATGAACTTGTTAAAGACAGCCATTATCACACTTACAAGTATGTTGGAAGGAGGAAATAGATTGGCCAAGAGAATGGAAAGAAAATATCTCAACATCGAGCCTCTTATCGAACGTATGGAACAATGTGCTGATATGTGTATGCAAATGTCGTTCATTCAAAGTTTGATCATCAAAAGAAGAGAATTTAAAAAGTTTTCATCTGGAATTTTTGAACAATTCAGAGCTAACAAATCAAATATGGATCAAATGTTGTCATCAAAACTCAGCAAAGATTTTGGACAACTACCAATAGAAAAGAAGCTCAAGTACTCAAATGATGTCAACCAGTATATCAGCAGGATGAAAGAATATGTTATTGAAGAATGTGAAGAGATAGGAACTAGTATTTACATACTTCTTAAATATTTAAATATTGAGATGGCAGATAGTTTTGAAGATGAGGACAGTGTTAGAAGAACTATAGTTTATCAATATTATCAAAGCTTGACAGGAAGTATCGAAATTATCCGTGATTCTAATATTGAAATTGTTAACTTTAAAAAGCCACACATGTGTCATAATTTATTGGAACAAACGAAGGATGAGTTTGTACAACAATGTAATCGTGAAACAGCACAAACCAAAGTTGCAGATCTCTATGAATGGACCTATACTGTATTCTATACTGAAATGTTGCATTTAGAAAGGTATAGACAGAATGCAAATGGTTGGGAATCAAAAACTTGGAGATTTTTGGAAAATTACTGGAAGTATATGAAGAATTTATCCTTCCTTTTCTCTCTTTGTATTAATATTATTGTGCTCATATCTTTCCACAAGAAGTATGATGTATTCTCTGGAAATCTACCTATTCCTGGACAAAGTTATGGAGATAAAGGAATTGATGGCATGATTATTACCCAAGGATTCAAGTGGTGGGGTGTTGGTATATTGGTTATTGTGTTAGGTATAATTCAGCTCATCACAACTCTATTACTGATATTAATTTATTTGAGATTCTTCCTATTATTGAATGTGAAAAAGAAATTTGAACTAAAGAAAGGAGAAACATGGGAAGATGCTAAAACGAAGGATGACTTTAAGAAGAAGCTAATAATTAACATTCTCTCTGATAAGTACCTCTGGTGGTTGATTATTTACTTCTTGATTTCACTGATTGGTCTGTTTGTTACTCCACTGGTTTATTGTCTCCAGTTGTTTGAAGTAGTTACTTTGAGCCATGTTTTGCAAGATATTGTATTTTCAATTTTTGAAAACAGGAAGAAATTCTTCTTGTTCTCAATCCTTACCATTTTCTCTCTGACTGCCTATGCTTTTACAGTATTTGCCTTCAAATGGGAGCAATGGATTATTGGCACAACGAATGCGTGTTCCAATACCATACTGTGTTTTGCCACCACAATCAATTACAGTGTTAGAGCTGAAGCCTTCTTGGAAAATATTATGGACCCTCAACCGAATGACGTATTCAGATTCTTTATGGATATTGTTTTCTACTTTATTGTAGTAGTTATTTTGTTGGATGTCTTGTTTGGTTTGATTTTGGACTCTTTCAGCGAACGTCGTGAAGCTCGTAACAAATTGGAAAAGGAAAAGAAGGAGATTTGCTTTATTTGCCATAATGAAAAGAGTAGATTTGATATTCATGCCAATGAAGGTATCAACTTTGAAACTCACATTATGAATGAGCATAACATGTGGAATTATGTCTATTTCCTCATTTACCTTTCCCAAAAACCACGTGATGAATATACTGGTACTGAGCAATATGTAGAATTGAATGCAGCTAAATTATCATTCTTCCCAACCTTGAGAAGTAGAACTCTTGAATTGGTAGAAAGTGGATTATTGATGGAAGAAAAGTTACAACCTGACCATACATCCTCCTCTGCTGATTCTGATGATGAGGATGAAAATGATTCTCATGACAACAGAGCAGATTTTGACATTTCTCAAACGCAATCAAAGAAGGGATCACTTACAAAGATGAATGATGACTTTGAATCTATGATTAACAATAAGGATAGTTTGTTATTGTACATTTAATAAATCCAATAAACCGGTTTATTTGCAAGAAAAACAAGAACATGCTGGTATTATTTGGGAAGAACTGACACAATGGTCAATTTTGACAAGCGTGGAGGTGCTGATTTGTTCTGGAAAGTCAAATTGCACATTTCTCTTTACCCTCTTGTAAACAGCATTGGATTTAATAAACTCTTTGATATTTTGTGAATTACTAGTATTCATGTGATATTCAATTTTGATAAATTCAATGGCTTTCAGGTAGTTCTCTGTTGCATTATCGTAAGATTTATGACTGGTGCAAAATTCTCCAAAGAGTGAGAAAACTTCTTGTAAGTGTCTATAACATTGTATCTTGGAGGTGGTTGTGTCAAAATTGTCATTACTCAAAGCTTGTTTAAAGTAATTTATCGATTTTTCAAAAACGTGAGACTTGGTCAAAAGGGTTTTGGTTTCACTAGCATTTTCGGAATTGATGTAAACTGTTTCTATATATCCAAACTCATCAATGTTTAATTTACTAAATATTGTAAATAAACAAACTCCAATAGTATCACAAGTATGTGATTTAAATGATGTCGAGTCTCCTATTTCTATTAAATATTTAAATAAATCTATTAAATGTGTATAATTCACATAAATATCTTCCGAATCCATTAGTGCTTGATCAATAGATACTATTCCGAACTTGTGATAAATATTCATAGTCCTATGCATAAAATCAAAATAAACATTCTTAAATTCCAACAATCTATTTAACACCTTCAACATTAAAACAATATTTTGATAATGCTCGGCTTGTTCAAATAAATTTAAAAGCTCCACTTCATTACATTCACTAATATCACCCAGTAAACGACTCGATTTTTTCAATGATTTTCTTGGTGGTACAACCTGAGCCTTCGGAGGAGATGCTGTAATTTCCTTCACCTCCTGTTCTTCATCATCAGTTTTCTTCTTCAATTGTTTAATGCTGATCGGAGAAAAACTGGTCGAGGCTTCTTCATTGTTGTTCATTTTTTTTGATTATTATTTGGAAATGAAAAATGGCGCCATAATTGTCCAAGGCTTGAGGTTTAATTAAGGAATCGACAAGTTATTCCATCGGTTCTTATATTCCCGACCAAAGTGACTTGTTAAAAATCAGTGGAATCAATAAACAATTGAACCAGATTGGAATCTAGGATTGGAGGATGTGGACAGATAAAAGTTTATTCAAAATTTTTTGATTTATTGTGTTGATTTCTTCTTCTTTCTATTAAAACATGAACAGAATGGCCAATAGATAAATTCATAGACATCCAAAACTGATTTCATATTCAATAGATAGAGAGTAAGCAATAATAGGATCCATATCAAAATGAGTTCTGATATGAATTCCAATGCCAAACTACCATCACCCATTGAAAAACTAGTTGACTCTGTGTTGAATTGAATATTCTCAACGGAAATCAATATGAGAAAGATGCACAAGACAATGAATGAAATTGTAATGAGCATTATAAATCTGGTAAATTTGAGAGATTTGAATGAATCAATCTTCTCCTGTGCATTCTTTGTTCTCGTCAAATCAAGGAATAATTTCATTCCAAATCCAAATATGGCCAAGCTCAAAACAATGAGGATTGTAATGAAGATGAGAAGAATGATACCAGTTCCCAACACTTCATTCAAACTAGAGGTGATAATATATGAAATTGCCACCGATAAGAAAAATCCCAATCCAACAAATAATAAAACTCTGAGTGGAATTAAGAGTTTTGGATCTGTGAGTTGTTTTCTCTTTTCACTGAATGCTAAATTGACCCACAGCAAGGTTACTACAAAGACACAAACAGTGATGAGGTAGTACACGATGGCAATGATTAGTCTGGTTCTTTTAAAATCCTGAACTCCTAAAATTACTGCTCTAGCTATGGCATAGCCAATTATGGTGAGTGAAATCATAACTTTCAAAATTAAGGTAAAATGTTTTACAGAAAACCATGTAAATTCTGGATAAATATCAGAATCCTTTTCAATACCCATTGATCCCTCTTCACTGCCAGTCCACAACGATCTAACATAGGTATTGAACTTGACAATTAAGTTTCTAATAACTTTGAATATTCTCAATTGAATAATAGAAGGAATAAGTGAAACTGTAATTGACACAAATGCAACAATAAATGCCAAAATAACTACAATATAATGATAGGCATAAAAAGCTCGTTTCGAATGAATCAAATTACAATTAGTGGCCCACAAATTCTCCTCCTCGCAATAACACATAATAGTTGTGGTGTTTCCTCTATACGAATCTACAAAAGGACTACTTTTCGAATTGCCACACAATTGTGTTTGATCATAATCTGGATTTTGAGCCATTATAATATCAATAGTTCTGTCCACTCCTCTACACTCTGAAACATTCCACATTTTCATTCGAAACTCATTACTCACCACATTACACAACATGCAATATCTCTGAAAAACATAAGAAGGAAGGTCAAGACAAATTTCCTGACACGTTGTTTCGTTCCAATCGGGATGACCATTCCTTGCAGACTCACAAAAATCATAAACTAAACTATCCATCACAACTTGTTGGTTATTTGGAAAGGGAACAATGTAGGAATCGGCTACAAGAATCTTGTTGAAACAAGGATAGGGAGTTGTGTTATTTTCACATGGCTCTTGGAAAATAAAGGGACTGTAATAGAGTGAATTATTATTGGCAGTTGAGTTGAGTGAAGTGTTGTAATAGAGTTGTTGTTCTTGTCCTAAACAATTATTAGAAACTGATGTGAATAAACAAAAAAGAAGGACAAGAAGAAGAATACCAAGGTTGTGAGACATTTTGTTTTTTCAGAGAATTGACCACGTTCCATTGGTGGTCTATCCGTCTCAATTTGGTAATTGATTTGTGAACAGGAAACTCTGCAAAAACTGAGCAATTTGATAGGTGGAACAATCCATACCCAACAGAAGAGAGAAGAATTTCTGTTTCATTGAAGCTGTTAATTGCTTGAGATTCATTGTTTATTCAATCTGCCTCCTAAATAGAGCATTGATTTAACTATATTTGTGAACATGAGAGTTGCTCTTTGTTTTGCAGTATCTGACACTTGAGATATGAACGGATCATTTATTAAGGAAGAAAAACTAATACAGAAATTAAGAGTGAAAAAAAATGAATCAACAACCCTCAACTCCACAAAGCCAAACAAAACAGCAAATGTTCTTGTCCACCCTTAATCCAACGGAATATTTAGATCAAATGTTGGTGACTGCTCACTTGAAGAATGCTATTACACAGAGTAGGTTTCCTAATATTTTCCGAGGTATTTAAAATTATAAAATAGTATTGGAAATGAGACCCGATGATCCACTAGAATTTATGGCGGAATAGTAAGTGGTTTTTTGTGAGAGTAATTAGTATTTACATATTCTATATCTGACCATAGTTTTAGTGAAGCTGCAAAGGAAAAGAAGAAAGTTTAATTGATGCAATCCAAATAGTACCTGTTTGAAGAGTATTAATGTTAGTTACTCGCTACTTGTTGAGGTGTTTTCTTCTTTTTGAATAGACCTACAATAGGCCAATAGAGAAACTCATAGGTATCCATAGCAGAGTTATGATTATACAAGTAGAAAGTTATCAAAGTAAGCATCCAAATCATAACGAGTTCAATAACAAATTCTATTGCCAATCCCAAATCGCCTCGAATAAAATTCACACCAAAGTTTTCTAATGAAAATATTATCAATAGTACACACAAAATGATAAATGACGTGGTAATGAGAACTATGAATCGTGTAAATTTCATTGAAACAAAGGAGTCAATGTTATCCTTTTTGACTCTTGTAACTTTGTAATAGAGAGTAAAACCTGCAATAATAATAGCCAATCCTAACACTATTAAAATAGACATGAAAACTAGCAAAATTGTTCCTGATCCAATATTCAATGCCAGTATTCTTGTAATGACATAAGCAGCTAAGACTAGAAACATGAAAATTAATCCCACAATATAAATCACTCTGAGAGGAATCAACAATTGATCTTCTGTTTTTTTCTTTAACTCTTTAACCATCAAATTAATCCATAAAATGCAAATTGTAAATGTACTAATTGTAATCAGGAAAAAGACTATTGCTAAAATTATTTTGTAATTGCTGAAATCTTCCACTATGAATAAAGCTATTCTAGATGCAAAGTATCCAAAGGCAGTACATGGAATAAGTAGATTTAACATGAATATGAAATGCTTGAGAGAAAATGCTTGCTTGGGCAGGAAAATTTCAGAATCACTTAAAACCAATCTCTCGTCTCCCTTAAAGGCAACCCTAACTAAATTATTGAGTTTTTGATTTAAAACTCTCACCTTTTTGAATAGTCTCGACTGAATTAGGGTTGGCAAGAGAAGCACAGAAAAAGAGAACACAGAAATGAGGAATGATAGAATAATAATAATGTAGTGATAGGAGAAATAAGCAAGCTTTGTGGAGAGGTAGCCACAATTGGATGCCCAATAATCCCCCTCCTCACAATAACAAATAGTAACTGTTTGTTGAATTAGATAGAGAAGTAAAAGAGAACTTTTCGAACTGCCACAAATTTGGGTTTGATCGTAATCTGATGATTTTGTCATGGCCATATCAATTCTTCGGTCAGGAGCTGGACACTCAGTAACATTCCACATCTTCATCCTAAATTCATTACTCACTACATTACACAACATGCAATAGTTTTGGAATGTTGGATTTGATGATTTAGTACAAAGCTCTGTGTAGCATTTTGTTGCATTCCAATTATTTCGTGTGGCATAATAGTGGCAAATATCAAATCCTCTTGGTCCAAACGAAACAAGTTTTTCATTTGGGAACAAAATAAAGCTTGAAAAGATGGTTATCTTGTTAAAACAAGGATAGGGTGTAGTGTTGTTTTCACACGGTTCCAAGAAAGCATTGGGACTGTAGTAGAGAGGTTTGTTGTTTGCGGTTGTGTTGAGTGAAGTGTAATAGTAATAATTTTGTGATGATTGTACATTTGACATTAAAAGCAGTAAGAAGGCAACCACAACAATCATAACAAAGCAATTGAACATGTTTTTTGATTTGTGAAAGCGTAACAATCATACACTCATATTATGAGCCCTTCTGTTGAAACGTTTTGCAGATCTACAAACAATTGTTTTGCCTTACCATAAATAGAAGGAACACTCAGAGATGTAACAGAGATGTAATATTACCTCTCTGAGAGGCATTTCCTTGAGTTCTTTAACAAGATGGGCTCTGATGAATATTAACCAAGTTGTCTGTTTTATCAATTACTGACTATCAATTGATAATTACTTTTGTTTAAAAGACTCCCTTATTGTCTTCTCCATCTCTTTTAATCCTAGAGTAACACAAGTTGAGTTTTGGGAGCGAACTTCATCTACACAATCAAAGAGTAAGCCTACTTTTTCATTCTCTAAAAGGTTTCTATTCACTTTCTCTGCGCAGTCAGCTACTTTTCTCTGGCAAGAAATCATCAATGCCTTATAGAAATATTCCTGTGAAGAGGCTAAACAAAACTCATTTGACATTGATATCAGATCTTGGTCCTTGTTTGCTCTAGGTTTAGATTCTAAACAGTTTAACAATCTCTTCTTCACATCAGGAATAGAGATACCCAACATGGTTTCCAACTCTTCCTGATTGTTCACATCTTGGTAAGATCCCTTATTGGCTGCTTTCCATTCCCTCATACGATTAGAAAATTGTGGCATAAAATCTCTGAACCTACTGCCTCTCACATTTCTAACAAAATTCTCATTTGTCCGTGTAGTTCCATCCAATATTGAGGAATCACTTTCAAAGCAATTATCAATTTTAGCTAAAGTACTATCAATTTCATCATTTTGTACATTGAAAGAATTTCCCTGAATCAAGTTTATGTTTGTTAAACAATTTTCCTTTTCTTTTTGTCTTTCCGCTTCCATCAAGAATAAACAAGACCAATTAAATTTCATCTTGAATTCATAAGGTAAATTCTTAATACCATCATGTTTTTCCATCATTAATTTACACTTGTTGTGATCTCCGAGTGCTCGAAGAAAGTTTCTCGTCTGAGCAATCTCAGCCTTGTACTGTTTATCGTTTTCCTTTGGTATCGACATTTTTTTAAAATTGCTTGTTCCGAAATTATATTCCTCTTCATACACATACTAGACTATTAGAAAATACAAAGAAATAAATTATAGAGAGGAACTAATTTTCAAAGCCTATGCTAAACATCAAGCCATTCTTCATCTTCACAAGCAAATCATCATTATATTTTTTAAAAATAAAAATTTAAAAAAATGTTGAACAGACTTGCCCGTGCCTCTCGTGGTATTCATCATCAAATTTCCACTCCTCTCATCATCAACCAAACTAGATTCTACAGTAACTCTCCATCCTATCCAAAGAATGTCATTGAACAAAAGGTCATCGAAATTCTTACTAAACACGATAATATAAAAACAACACCAACAGGTACTTCTCATTTAGTGAAAGATTTAGGTTTGGATTCTTTGGACTCTGCTGAAATTATTCATGAAGTTGAAAATGAATTTGTTCTTGAAATTAATGATGACGTTGCTTTCCAACTTCAATCTGTCCCACAAATTGTTGAATTCGTATACAAGGAAACTCATCATCATTAAATAATTTATTAAAAGGGTGATTTAAATAATGAATTTAAACTCGGATTCTATGTTGGGACTTGAATTAGTATTAATAATCGGATTAACCTATTGGTTGACATTCTATTCATCTTGTCTTATGCTAGCAATAGTCTTTTCAAATTCATCTTGCTCTCTTTGCTTTTTCTTTCTCATTTCGGTCTTGTACTTTCTTGCTCTGGATATATATTGTTCTCTACTGATTCTATCTGCTTGATGAGGGTTTGCAAAGATTCTGGCTATTGTCATTCCTGTTTGCAGTGGGATGTCTTTCATTAATTCATTACTCAACAGATTAATCTGTTTTGCATCATAGGTTACTCTTTCCTCTTGGCTCATAATCTTTTCCTTTTGTATTTTCTCTTCATTTAAAAAGTATGTCACTAAACCATCTCTAAGCTCAGCATCCCTGGCAGAAGAGATTTCCTCGTTTTGTTGAGATTGTGGTAAACTCTCTGCAGTTCCTCTGACTGTGTGTTGATCCTCTGGCAGTGATTTAAGGTATTCGTATTGTTCATAGCTCTTATTAAGATAGGATAAATCAACATTTCTTCTCCTTATTTCTCCTTTCAATCTTGCCATTTTCAATTTTTCCAAGTCAGGAAGAACTGGTTCAACGTAGTTCTTCCTTTCCTCCAGTGCATCTTTAACATACTCACTCGGTCTTAGCATATGTACGATATGTTTGTTATGAGAGTTGAGTGATGGATCAATGAATCTAAAGTCATTTTCTCTTCTTTCGTACGAGATGGATAACGTCTCCAGATCAATATTATTGTCTATATCATCAAATCCAAGTAATCTGAGAGTTGTCAAATACTCTCTTTTAATATGTGTCTCTCCTTGAGTTTTTCTCTTTGGAGCTCTTAAATAAAGTGGTCTCGTGTAAGGGTCATCAAAGTTGTTAGGTTCTGGTGAATGTGAATAAAGGAAATTTGTCCTCTGATTCAGAAAATGCTGATAGTCCTTGTCATTTTCGTCATCATCAAATGTAATGTACACTCTCTCGTTAAATTGAACTGATTTCCTTTCCTTTCCCCTGCTTTCGTCCGAGAGTGGTTCCTTAAGTATTGTTTTGTTACCTCTTTTTTGTTGTCCAAACTTTAGAGGAGAAAGTCTGTTCCCCCTTGAAGTTGGAGAATCAACAGAGTATTTGGAAGGTGAATTATTAAATAAGGGACTTCTGGGATATTTTGGTGTAGCAACTTTTTTGAATACAGTCTTCTTTAGACCAGGATTCTTCTCGATGGTTATTGTTATGTTTTTCCTTGCATAAGGATTTCTATATACATATGTATCCTCATCCTTAGGAACATCAATTTTCAATTCCTTTGGAATTTTTGGTGGAGGTTGATGCTGCTCGGTAGAGGAATTTGTTGGATCAATGTTGACATTAAGAAACATCGACTTCCTTGGAGTCAATGTATCCCTTTTGGGTTCATCAAACATCCAATTTCTCTTCGTTGCTGTGCTGGAGTGGGCCAATCTCGGTGCAGTCTTTAAATCTGAATCTGCTGTTGAAGCCCTGGCCTGGCTTGTTTTTAAATATGGTCTTCTCTTACTGGTCATATGGATTGTATCATTTCAATTTAATGATGAACGATAAAACCCGAAACAAAACTGGGGGTTTTAGAGTGATGAAGTTTTCATGCAGCACTTGTTGTTGCTTCTCAGAGTTCCAGCAACGGTAATTTTTTTAAGGTTTTCTTCAGTACATTTTTGTGATTTTGATTTTGAGCGCCAAAATTTTGTACAAAAAAAACTGTGATATTGCCTTAACGATTTTGGAGGCAAATTTATTGTTGTAGTATCATGAGAAATAGGAAAGAAAATATGTTGAAGAGCAATACAATAACAACAACTCTTAATAATTTTAATAATTCTAAGAATACAACAAGGGAAGAGGAAAACCTTCAATTCAATTTTCCAACTTTTCCGAAGGGATTTGATGAGTCACAGCTATCACTCTATCATTCTCTTTTATTAAAACAATGTACAAAATGTGATCATAGAAACGAGCATGCTAACAATACAACTAGTAAACCAGAGATTCCAACAAGAAGCACAATACAAAATGATTGTATTAAAACAATCCCTAGAGTTAACCCTTTATCGAGTGGAGTGAGTTTCCGATCACTACCAAAAGCAACCTGTGATGATATCATCAAAGTGTGTAACTTTTACGTAGAGAAGTGTGAGGGAAAATACAGTGAAAAAACTAGAGCCTACAGAATGATGGTGGAAATGGCGAATGAAATTATTAAATTAACAAACATTATACAAAGGGATTTCGAAGTGGAATATAGCAAACAACGAGAGCAGAATGTTCACTTGAATAAGGTTTGTGAGGAGTGGAATAATTATTTTGGAAAAACAGTAGATGATAAATATTCAAAACTGAGCCCACGAGATATTCGATTAATAATTGATAAACTGGAAATGGATGTGAAGAAATATGAGGATACATTGAATGAGGAGCGATTAAGACACTACGAACAAGAACGAAAATTACACTTGATGATCAATGAGCATCACGAGGCCAGCAGGAAGAGCATTAGAAACATGATGAAACAAACATCAGCACCAACTTTTCAAAAGAGTCCAACACCTCTCTATCAACCAAATTTCGAACAGACCTCCCTCGTTGAAACTCTTCTAGAAGAAAACAGACAATTGAAAAAACAAGTTCAAGAACTGACAGGCAGTACCTCCAAATATCGAACAAGCCACCACAACATGACCTCATCCTCCACCCTTCAAGATTCAATCAGCAGTAATAGTAGCTCTTCCCAAAGTACCTCCTCCATCAAATACAACACCCTATTCCAATAATAAAGCACTCAAAGAGATACTCGTTTCATAATACATCATACTACTGTCGTAAAAAACTCTCGATCTTGAAGAGAGAAGTAATCCATTACATAGGATATCTTGGTAAATAAACAGTAAGTTTGTTTGCTCAATATCATAAATCGGGTGATGAATCCTTTTAAAAAAATCAACGGTAACTTTTAAAAAATAGTGCACACCACATCTTGCATTATCACACAAACAAAATGGCAGACCTTGAGGATCTACATCACCATCAGAATGGTGTTATTGTTGGACCAACCATTGGTGATGTTATTTCTAATGGAGATGATGATGATAACCTGGATGAGATTGAATTAAATTATCAATCTTCTCTCACTCTGGATAACAAGGAGAGTGTACTTCATGAAGCTCATTCCGAACCATCTTCTAACGTTGATGAAAAGGAAGTTGAAGAACATCATCATTTGAATAATAATAATAATTATCAAGATGAAATTGTTCCACCTCCTTCCGAACAGAGAGCCATCTTTACAAGCAGCTCAACGAGTGATATTCGTTCTAGGAGTGATTCAATTACGAGCCAATCCACTCATTCATCAAATTCAGAGACATCGTCATCCCTTTCTATAGGGGCTATTCATCAGACAAATAATTTATCTTCATCATCATCGTCTTCAGTAGAACCAAAAAGATCAAGCCTAAGAACACCTGAGAATGGTGATATTACCATTGATATGATTCAACAAAATATTAAATTACAAAAACAATTAATTGAACAATCTATGAAAGAAAAGGAAAGGAAAAGGAAAGAAAAAGCAAAAGAACAATTAATTCAATCAAATTTAGATTATTGGCATAATACAATACTACCACATATTGAAAAATATGGTTGCATTGATAAAACCATGTATAAGAAGTGGTATAAGAATGGTATTCCAAGTCCTTTGAGAAGTAAAATGTGGGTGGCTTCTCTAGGAAATGAGTTACAAATTACTCCTGGTCTATATGAAATTCTGAAAGATAAGACAAATCAACCTTCAACTATGGAAAGACAATGTTCAAGTATTGATCTAATTTCTGTGGATTTATCAAGAACTTTCCCTGCTCTCCAATTTTTCCAATATCCTGATGGTCCATACTATCAACCATTTAAAACAATTTTGGAATGTTATTCAAAGTTTAGACCAGATATTGGCTACGTACAAGGAATGAGTTATATGGTAGCAACATTATTACTTTATATGGATGAATATGATGCATTTGTTTGTTTTTGTAACTTGTTACATAGATCAAAATGTAATTCTAACCCTCTAGCTATGAGTTTAGTTGGAACACCAGCAGGATCTGCTTCATCTTCTGCCACTACATCTTCTGCTTCTGCTGCATCAGTGGTGTCTTCAATTTTGTTTGGACCAAAGAAGAGAACTGCAGAATTCACTTCCAATTATCATACACTCTATACCAGCAATCATTTCATTCCATTTTTTACTATGAACACTGATTATATTGATAAGAATGTGAAATTTGTACGAATACTATTAAGAGAACATCACGCACAACTTTACAAGCACTTGGTTGTGGATTTGGGAGTTGAATTTGCAGTAATTATAATAGACTGGTTCCTTACATTGTTTAGTAAATCTCTTCCACTTGATGTGGTTGCAAGAATTTGGGATGGTTATCTAGTTCATGGTAGACTTTACATGTATTCTTGCACAATGGGAATATTGATCTATTACCAAAAGGAATTACTTTCTGCTGACTATGAACGAGTTATGTATTTCTTAACTCATTTATCTACAGCCACCAATCAATTCGAAACATTGGATGTGGAAGAAATGTTTTCAATTATAAATACAGATTGTAGATTAAGTGAGAGACGTATCAATAAGTATATTAGAATGATGGAAAAATAAACAGCCCTACAATCTATTCGCACCCAAAGCAAGGATTAGGAAACGATTCTTTTTGGCTTGCTTTTCTCGTCGCACATGTTTTTTGTTTCACACTAATTTTTTGTTTTAGCTCATTTCTTGCTTTAGTATCTTTATGAGGTGTGTAGTTTGTAGTGTTCCACCATTTCTGGCACAATTTTGAAAATTTAATTATTTCTTTCACTCCGATCAACCAACAGTTGTGAGATTCACCTTTCAATCATATGATTTTTAATTGTGATAATTTATTTTTCCATGATGATGAAATAATTTAAAACATGAAAGTAGCAACAATGGCAGCAAGAGCAAACAAGACCCAATTGACCTTTCCACTCAATGGAGCACTATTCCAACAATTAGTTTCAGGATAGGATGAACAATCTTTGAAATTAGTAGAAGATGTTCCACAAGCATCCTTAACCTTTTGACAATATGAACGACAAACAGTAATTGAACCAGAAGAGCTGGCATATTTAGCATTATTTACATCACAAACAGCACATGAATACATTTTCATATACATGACACATGACTCTGAAGCTTTGAGAAGTGTGAGAGCACTAACAACGATAGAAGCTGCTGTATCTTGAATTACACTACAACATGATTTAGTTACACCTGTACAAGTGGTGCATGAGGAACATGGACTTGGATCAAAGGCAACAATTGCATTCTTGCAGGTTTGAGCTGTGACAGATGTGGTAGAGACACAGAGAATGAGAGAAATGAGGAGAATTACAAGAATTGATTTGTTTAACATTTTTTTGGGATTTGTTTTTATCGGTTGAGATGGCTCTCTAATTTATTCTCCATGATGAATATTGGCACATGACATGTTTGGATAACATGAAGGGTTGAAAGGTAAAATGCTCATTGTAAATGTGAAGATCTTCTGAAAAGATGCGTAACGTTTGATGGACAACATAGCGACGAGGTTGAGCTTTTTACTAGCTGATTAACTGTAGATGTTTGAGATGCACTTTCTAAACGAATGCCATGGACTGCATTGACTTGTTGTCCATTGTAAGATTGAGAGAATTTATTGTAATACTACAGTTAAGATTCGGATAAAGACCAGTGACTTACTGTAATGTTACAATCAAACTCTTCAATTTTGTGTACAATTTTGGAAATAATATAATGTGCTTTTCACTTTCATTTGTCATGTGGTCATCCTCATTCTTCTGTATGGTCTTTGACATTGAAATCTCAAACATACTCATTATCTCCAGCTGTTAAAATCACTTTTTATCAAGTAATCCTAATTCAATACAGGAAACAACTGGTGTTCTGGTTAGATGTTTGGGGAAGACTCAGAAGTGGTCGCTCACAAGTGTTGGATATTGAATTAATTGTTTTATTACATTATAGATTCTAACCAAAAGTTACAAGAATTTTTTTCAAACAATTTTACACATGCTGTACCAATGATCACTTTTCTCAGCAATCACACTGCAATTAAAACACATCACTTTGAGGAGAAGCTGCAGGCTAGGGTCATGGAAGGTGATTGCTGTAAAAAACCCGGAAGTGATCTCTGCAGTTTTGTTTTTTGGCTATTTTTTCAAAATTTGATGTGGAATTCCACAGTGCATATGAAACATATCATGTGTGAATTGAATGATGGATTTTATCTATCATGTTCTTACTCCAAACAATCTAAACCTGAAACTTTCCAATACTTAATGTGAAATGAATTGAGATTTAACAAAATTCGCGAATATTACTTGGTGCTAGTATACATTATAATGTAAAGCCGTCATAGCTCAGTTGGATAGAGCACAGGACTTCTAATCCTGGGGTCGTGGGTTCGAGCCCCATTGTCGGTATCTGATTTTATTCTTAAAGTAAACATTTTTGAATTTATTGCTAAGATGATTAGAGTGACCAATGGTTGTGTGAAAGATCAATTTTGTGTTAGCCAAATCAATATGATAATAGCTATTTAACCTATTTTAATTTTCAGTTTAAAGTATTATTCATCACTACTATAGCTACTATCACTAGTATCACTATCAGATGAGTAGCTCGATTCCAATGTTTCTATTTTTCTAATAACTCTCTGAGCTTGAATTTTAACAGAGATAGGGAACTGATCTAGATGTCTCAGAATAAATAAAACATTTGTAAAATCATGATCTTCAACATCCAGTGAATCGGTATCAAACAAGTATTCTACAAACTCAAAAATACAGCCAAAGATGAGAAATTGCTTTTCCTTTGGAACTGTAGCTTTGAAGGGATAGACTAAAAGGTTTGGCAGAAAGTCATATAGACTAATTGCAAAGCTACGATTTCTTGTTAATAATAATATAGCAATCAATACCTCCTCGAATAGGTCAATGTTTGATAATTTCATCAATGCCAAATGAGCAGTTTCAAAATGTTCATCAGTTACATGAGAGAGTAATTGCTCTCCTCCATTTTGTACAATTTCATTGAGAATGATTGAACTCAAAGCCGAAGCGGAAAGCTGTAAACTCTGAACAATACTTGGAAATGATGGGATAATGAGTGATAAATGGGTGAGCAGGGCTTCTGATGGAATGGATGCCTCAATAAGTTCGTTAAACAAGTAATCATAGAGAAAATCCTTCTTTTCTTCTGATTGAATTTCATTCACATCAAATGGACAATGAATCAATAATCCCTTCTCGTAAAGATTTTCAATTAGGACAGCTAATGATCCAATATCAGCTAGTGTATTGCTCATAGCAGTATCTACTTTCTTTTTTGAAATTACAATTCTAATGAACTTGGTAAGGAATGGATAAAAATCAAACTGTTCAAAAACTCTCGACAATGCGTTTAGATCTGTTTCTTTGATTATTTTGGCCATGGCTTTGGTGGTTGATAATATTAATTCGTCATTTAGCTTAAACTCATCTTTCTCAAATATTTCCTCAGTCTTTTTCTTAATAACCAAAAGAATCTTTTCAAATTTAATATTATCATTAATAAATCCAAATAATGTCTCAATCATGTCAAAGCATTCTATAACATTTTCTTTGTGTGTTTCTAATTTTTCTTCATCACTTAAATCTTGCATATCTTTCAAGTATTCGATTGTGTCGCTCATTATTATGGTTTCAAACAGATTGCTGATAAGCTGTCTAAATCTCTCCAACATTGAACCGTTCATATTATTGACATCAAAGCAGCAACTAACATTTTCCAGCATTTCACAATATTCCTTGATATTTGTGATATTGGCTTGGCCAGCATTGATTATTGTTCCCAGTAAATCATCAGAGCACTTCTCTTTTTCGAGGAAGTAACGGGCAATAGTCCTATTAGCAGAACTTCTGATGATTCTATTGCTAGAGAATAAAGAATTTTTCCATATTTCTAAAATGCAAGAAATCATCTGTTTAAACTCTTCTGGTATTTCTTCCAACTTGTCCACATCAAGGCATACAGCAGGTAATGAAATGATATTAGCTGACTCTCTCAAAAGTCCTTCGTATTGTGTTTTAATTTCGTTTCTCTTCAAGTTTTCAATTATTAAATCTTTAAATTGTAGAAGTACTGAAACACGTAAGAGAATATCATGCCTAATTATCAGTTCATCCTGGTCTTCGTACTCCTTTTCCATCAATACAAATCCAAGAGTGTTCATTATTTTGCCTTTAACAATGTACACATGATCTCCAAAGTTTTCAGATTGTTCGTTCGTAATATTCGAAGCTTCCATATCCTTAACTTCTTCGTAATCTTTCTTCATTAAGGAAAACAAATGACTCCACCTTGTGTCGTCAGTATTTGCTAGTTTTGCAAGAGTTAACATTTTCGTTGCATCTACTTTTAAATCCTCTGTATCATCCTCCAAGCTTAGCCCAGTAAGTTTATAAATTAATTCAATGTAAATTGGAATACAGTTTAAAATTTTTGATCTTAATTCATCCAATTCATCGATTTCAATTGAAAAGATATCTTTAAGGAATGGAGGCCAAAACGAAATATTAGAACCCATTAAAGGTTGGTTCTCTTGTTTCCAATTTTGGTCATTGTTTTCCTTCAAATACTTGACCTTCTTTTCCTTCATATATTTCAACGTAGTCAGCATTACAAAACATGAATTGTAATATTTTTCCATATCCGAAATAGGTAAATATCGATAACTGAAAATGTCAACTTGTAATTTAGTATATAAATGTAAAACAATTTTCTGCCAAGCCTCCAAAATTCCAATTCCAGTTTCGAATTGTCTCACCTGTCCATTATATGCCTCCTTTTTCAATTTCTTGGCACAATCAAACACTTCCTTCAATACATTCTCTTCAACATAATAAAGAAATGGAACAAAAGCCTCTGATCTAATTCTTGTCATTGTCTCACGTGAAACTATAAAGTAATGATAAATCATCAGCATGGTCTTGATACAAATTACATCTTCGTCATCATGATCCCGCTCATCAAATACAAATAATTTAGAACCAGTATAATATGATAAATCATCATCAAAATCAAAATGACTTGACAATATTTTGTTAGTTTCTTTATGACGGTCTTTCCAGAAAATGGAAACTAGTGAATAATTAGTTCGGACAATCATCTTTACTTCATCAAAATTTCTACGTAAATCATTCAAAGAGTCAAGTTTTCTACATTCCGACATGTAGTCCTCTTGAATGAACGGAAAAATTCCATCTTTAATCATTTTTTTTTAATTATGACAAAAACTTGATCAAAACTTTCCCAATGGCATGCTATTCTTTTAATATGAATTAAAAAAATGGCGCAAACTACTGCCAATGAGTTACTGGAGGAAATCATGCATTTCATGAAGCAGCAGTTGGAGAAGGCTGTTACAAATTCTGATGTTTCGATCCTTAACAAAATCTTACCAAGTGATCTGTGTGCTTATCTGGTGCCGGATAAAAGCAAAAAAAATAAGAAAGAAAAACTAGCTGATATTTGCCTGCAACTAGGAATCAAAGAAGATGGAGATGGTGCATATGAATATTATGAAGAAGATGAAGATGGAGATGGTGCATAGAAGATAGAATGATACTGATCCTTCACTCGTATAACTGATGAATTTTCATCGATTCTTAAACTGGATGAATCTCCATATTTTGTGGGAGTCCTAATTGATTTTAATTCGTCTAGATTAGAATGTCAGAATTTGATATCAGACGAATATTTTCCTCTCTGCACACACAAACCTCAAGATCATGATGAATTCTTTGAGAATGAAACTATTCCAACCATTTCATTCACAAAAGCTCATGATATTTATGCACTTTCGTTTGTAATGACACAACTTGTTACAATTCTATTTTTTGTAATGAGCCACCTTTCAAATATTAATCAAGCCATCACTCAATTCTTGATTGATTATAGAAATCCAGTTGATAAGGAATGGATATTAAAACAGTGGGAATTTTTATGTAAGGAATCAAATTATATCTTTAAGAATGCTCAACATTTGGAAATATTTTCACAAATTTCCAAATTTGTTTTCAAATCCTTCGTCTTTTTCCACAAGTTCATATTACGAAAAAGAGTTGCAATCCATCAAGCATTCTTTATTAACATAACTCCCATACTATTCGTAAAGTTAAATATTTAAGAAAAAGGTTTAATACCTGTGGATTTGGAATTGGTGTGTCAAATATCTTGGGAGTTTGAAAAATCCACAAAAAATGTCGAAACATGTTGAAGGTGTGATATTTGCCCTGCTCCTCCCCACGCTTCTCGTCATATTGCAACTATGTGAAAACTCTATACAATCAATTGCCATTGGAGGTGGTAAAATTTCTGGAAATGTTGAATTTCCGTTTATGGTTTCCATTCAATATAGATTTGATTCGGGAGAATTTAATCACTTTTGTGGAGGATCTATTATTTCTAAGCAACACATTCTAACAGCAGGTAATTTGAAGAATTTATTAAAATTAATTGGAATTTGTAAATGCTAGCTCATTGTTTCTATTCGAAAGGAGAGCTAATTTCTATAGAAAGATTGAGGATTAGATATGGAAGTTCCGATTTATCTTCTAATGATTTATTGGAAATTATCATTTCTGATCTGTTTATTCATCCAAATTTCACATTAGAAACTAACCGAAATGATATTGCCATTGTGAAAACAATTAATGAATTGGAAATCAACAACTCAACCACTCGTATAGCATTCTTAGAATCAGAAACTATACCTAATGGATTTAAATTGATTGCAGTTGGATGGGGATTTTACAATGAACAACAAACTTCATTTTCAAACAAATTAAGAAGAGCAAGAATTCCACTCACTTCATTGTTGAATTGTAATGGAATGGGATTGAGAGCTAATTCTCCAAATCAATTATGTGCTGGCGATGGAGGTGGTGCAGATACTTGTAAGTTGAATTGTTGAATTGAGTTTCGAATATAGGATTGAGGTATTGGAGATAGTGGAGGACCATTATTTAGATTTGAAGGACTTTTTGATTTTGCATTGGTTGGAATTATCAGTTATGGAAGAGATGTTAAATGTGGCTCAATGAATAGTTTGACAGTTTACACAAATATTTCACATTACAATCCCTTTATTGTAAATGTTATTGGAAATGTAACATTTTCTCCCTTTGATCCAAATGCCAATTACAATAGAGCACTAATCAATCACTCAATTATTTTACAACTTTCTTATTGGATTATTGGTTTATGCCTTTTATTTCAAACCATTACCTGAATTGACATGAGATACTTTCCTTTAATGAAATTTGAATATTTCCCATTAATTGGACTTGGGACGTAAAGAAGTAGTTCATTAGAAAACCAAATTGAAAATAAGATTTAGATCAAAAGAGTGAAATGAATTTAAACTTCTACTGTTGAACTCTTTTAGAAATATCAGTTTCTTCAATTGATTCTCTCTTTCTCTTCTCAGTTTCTTTGAACTGTTCTATTCTCACAATGTTTTCCCACGAATGAATGCGTATTAGAAATATACATTTGCTGGAAGATCAAAAAAAATGGCAGAAAGCAGTTGGCACGATTTACCTCAAGTTGTTCAATTAGAAATATTCACCTTTTTATCAATTAAACATCTCGGAAAGGTTCTTTCTTTGAGCAAGACGATTCAACAACAATTGGACGAAAGTGAATACTTTTGGCAGAAATTATCAGTCAATTATGCTCGAGTTCTGGATGATCCAAACATTATGGAGCAAACCAAAGCATTAGCAAATGATCAAACTGAAAAGAATCTTCATGAAAAGTATTCGAATCATTTCGAATTATTGATGAAAGCAAAAGATAAGAAAAAAGTAGAGTTACAAACCAAGGTAATGGTTGAGAAGAGAAGAAAAAAATTAGAATTGTTGAGAAGTAGTTTGATGTCAGCACTTTTGACTCGTGCTTCTGGCTCAGAAAAGAAAGAAGAAAAGAAAGAAGAAAATTTCGATTTGGAAAAGGAAATTGAAAAATTGCAGTTTGATTGAAATGAGCTCGAGTGTTATTCGAATGATTGGAACTGACTTTCTAATAAAATTTTACAAGGTCACTCAATCATTTTGTATGCGATTTTTAAAAATAAAGTCTTCATGCTGAGCTATTGTCACAATTCATAACAATAAAAAAAACTGTCAAATGCCAAAAGGTTCCATTAAACTCAAAATTAGTGGTGGTAGAAGAAGTGGTTACAATAGCAGTAGCTCACACAGATCCGAGGACTCCCAAACTATTTTCACTAATTTTTCAACTTCAAAGAGACAATTTGAGTGTTGTGAGAATGAATGTCCAGTTCAAGGTGAAGTTGAACCCAAAGTTCAATATGGAAGCATGCTTGAAAGACAAGCACAACTATTTACACAATCCATGCACACAGGTTTATATGGATATTGTACCAAGAAGGGAATGGATCAGAATGCAATTGTTCCAGCTATTAAGATGGGGAGTCAATATTTGGAAGGAATAAGCAAGAAAATTACAAAATTATTCCAATAATAAATGAGTAAAAATCTTTCTCAATCATCTTACAGAAACTTGTATTAGAAATTGACCATTAATAATTTAATAATAGAATACAAATTTATAACAGAAACTGATTATTGTAACTTTAATAGATATTTTAGTTGGATGGACCAAAAACAGCTGTTGTAAAATTTTATCACATGATGGAAAGTCCGAAAATGGGCTGTGAAAAAAAACCATTGTAAACAACATAGACGGTTGACAGAATGACAACTTATTTAAAAAAAAATTAAAAAAAAAGAAAATGTATCACCACTTCTTGACTCAGCACTTTGAAACTTGTAGAACTACACTTCTTCCCATCAACAAACCTGTGTTCAATTATTGGTACCAATACCTATTTGACTATACACCAATATACCAATAATTACAGTGTTGAGTAGAATTGTTCCTTCTCACACCATTACCCAAGTTGTTGGTGCACCATTAAAGCTGTAATAGAGATGAATATTGGCTCCCACACTTGAAAGCAATTTTTAAATTGCACAAAGTTTGTGAGATTTGCACACCACCAACAGTGATATGAGCACAATCACGATTGATGATTTGACTTGAAAAAATGGAGATTCTATAAATGGTTGAATTGGGCGAAAATTAAGAAATTGTAATCAGTAACACTATAAGTTGAGAAAATCACGTCCCTGGATGGTGATTGCGTGAGTGACATTAAAATAATCGATGATTACTTCAGTGATGTCACAGCCCCATTAAGCTTTCATTTACTAAATTGATTGTGGAATGGAAACTCAATGGCACCTTGTGGATTTTAAATAGATTGTTTGTTTAAACTAAAGCTTAAAAAAACAACAGAAATGAAAATTGCAGAGATTTTAAATTATATCCAACATTCACACAGGTATAATCATGATGATATTAATTATTTGTGCGGGTACTTTGCCATTGTGCAAGACGGAAAGAGGGGAATAGATATTTCTGCAACCAATATTCGTGCGTTTCTCGACACACTTCTCAAGACCCCAAAAGGTGAAGTTACAAAACTATTTTGGTACGGAAACTATGGCGGCCCAGGTACCAACTCAACACTGCTTCCAATAGATGCTCTTGATGCAGCATGTCTATTTCATGATAAATACTTGCCAAAAGATAGGTTTCAAGACCTTACAAAATTTATTAGACGTCATTTCGGTGCACAAAATTGCTCAACAGACGCAAATTGGTATATCGATAGAATCAATGGTTTATTTTTTAGTTACGTAGAACCTGTTTATATGAATTGGTTTGTGTCAAAGAGCTAAGCTTATTATTGAAAAGTGTGCTCATCAAGAATACAACCAATTCAATATTAAAGCTTTGAATTAAATTTTAAATTAAAAAATCAAAAAAAATTCATCACAGCACCCGAAAGATTCACATTTTGATGCTTTTTTGATATCCATCATTGAAACCTTTTTTGAAATTTAATAATTTATTATATAGATAATAATACATACAAGAATAATGGAAGCAAACAAGGACTCTGCCATTCAATGTTTGCATATGGCAAAAGAATCAATTACCGATGCTTCTAATTCATCTCATCCCGAGGCTTGTTATGATAAAGCAATTCGATTGATAAATAAGGCCAAGAAGTTGTATGAAGATGTAAATCCCTCTCATCACGGATTTGATAAAAATTTAAAATCAATTGATGATTTACTTGGATATGTTTTAACGAAAAAACATCAACATGGTCCTCATCATCAATCAAGTGCTGCTAGTAGCAGCAGTTCATCAACAACTCCATCATCTTCAAGAAGTAATAATCAAGAATCTTCTTCATCATCAGGTAATGAAAGTGGTAATGATTCATCTCCAACATATACAAAAGAACAAAAAGATGAAGTTCTTAAAATAATTTCCTACAAGGACGATTACTACAAAGTTTTGGGAGTTGACAAGAAGGCAACCAAGGATGAAATTAAAAAGGCATATAGAAAATTAGCTTTGAAATTTCACCCTGATAGAAATACTGTACCAGAAGCCACAGAAGCTTTCAAAATTATTGGTGGTGCATATATGTGTTTGAGTGACGAAGAAAAACGAAAATTATTTGACACTTACGGAACTGAAGATAAACAGAAAATTGGGATGGACCAACAAGAAAGAATGTTCAGAAGATTCAATGGAGGAGGAGGTGGCGGATTAAATGGAGCTTATTATACTAATGGCTTCAATGATGACGAAATATTCTTTGATTTATTTTCACAAATGTTTGGAGGAGGGGGTAGAAATATCTACATGTCTCATCCTAATATGAGAAGATATAGACAAGCACAAAGAGCTCAACATCATGATCATGATGACGATCAAAGTGTACCACAAACAACCTTCTCTTTCGGATGTATTCAAATGGTTTTCATTTTCTTCATTCTTTTCGTTTCTATGGCTCCTACTTTACTTTCTGGTCTATTTACACAAAGACCAACAAATGCCCATTCAGAGTTTTATGCAAATGGATATTATCACTTTGAAAAACACAGTACTTATACTGTGGAACGATCAATGGAGTATACACCACCCTTCAAACGTGACAAACATCAAATACCGATCTTCTTCCCTCATGAAGTGATTAAAGCATATGGTGATTCAATTCAAACGAGGTATAGAACAAAGGTTCTGACAGATTATAGAACTTACTTGAACCGAAGATGTGAGGAACAAAAGTATTATGATAGATTGCCATCATCAGATTCAGAAAAGCAAAAGTGGAATAGAAGGAGACCAAAGAATAGAAGAGAATATGTAGATAATTGTGAAATACTTGCAGATTTGTTTGGATAAATAAAATTATTTTGAATTTACTTGCTCTTGAACTTGTTATCAACCTTCAAAGTCACAGATCTGTTAAACACTAATTGATCATTAGTTGTGTCTTGATCAACAACAAAGAAGCCAACTCTTTCGAATTGGTACTTTTCATAGACGGCACGGTTCTTAGCATCTTGGAAATATGGGTCAACAAATGCGTTTGGCTTAATAATTTCAGAGTTTGGATTAATATAGTTCAACCATTCATCACCAACTTCATCCAAATCGTCACAAGTGAACAACTTTTCATAGAGTCTGACTTCAGCCTTCATTGGATCAACACCAGGAGCAGATTGAGACAACCAGTGAATATATGTCTTTGGCTTTTCCTTCTTGTCAAAATCGGCAGTACAATGCAATTCAACAATCTTACCATTTTCATCCTTAATAACCTTTTCACAATGAATGTTACATGGAGCATATCTCAAACCAACGCTCTTATTTGGAGCCAAACCATAGTAATCTTCAGAGTCAACTTCTCTAAAGTCAGAGCTTTCAATGTAGAGAACTCTGGAGAGTGGCAATTGACGAGATCCTCTTTCGGCAAGCTTAGGGTGATTCTTAGCTTCAACATGTTCAACCTTGTTAGCATCATAGTTAGTCAAAACAACCTTAAGTGGTTCCAAAACAGCAAAGACACGGTTAACACGTTCATCGAGATCAGTACGGAGGGATTGTTCCAATCTTTCAATTGGAATCAAATTTTCAACACGAGTAACACCAATATCATCACAGAATGATTTGATACCTTCTGGTGTGTAACCTCTTCTTCTCAAACCAGCCAAAGTCAAAACTCTTGGATCGTCCCAAGAACGAATAATCTTTTCCTTAACCAACTTCAAAACCTTACGCTTGGAAAGCAAAGCAGTTGTAATATTCAATCTACTGAATTCATAAACGTGAGGTCTATATAATTTCAAAGTAGCCAATAACCAATAGTAAGAGTCACGTCTGTTTTCAAATTCCAATGTACACAAAGAGTGAGTAATATTTTCCAAAGAGTCAACAATACAGTGAGAGAAATCATAAGTTGGATAAATACACCATTTGTTTCCTTGATGTGGGTGAGCAACATATTTGATACGATAAGCAACGAAATCTCTCATGTTGTAATTGTCACTGCTCATATCAATCTTGACTCTAAGAACAGCAGCACCTTCATCGTAAATACCCATCTTCATTTGTTCGAATCTCTTCAAGTTTTCTTCTGGAGTAGTATTTCTGTACTTTGATTCAATCTTATTTTCTCTTTGATCGTGAATTTCCTTCTTTGATGAAAAGTCAACATAGGCCTTTCCTTCCTTAATTAATTGAACAGCAAAATCGTACATTTGATCCATGTAATCACTAGTGTATGTAATCTTAAATGGCTTGAATCCCATCCATTCCATCATTTCTCTAATAGAATCAAAGTAAATCTTTTCTTCCTTTTCTGGATTTGTGTCATCATAACGAAGATATGTGCAACCACCTTCTGACATGGCATAACCAAAAGACAAATTCATGGCCTTGGCGTGACCAATGTGAAGGAATCCGTTTGGTTCAGGTGGGAAACGTGTCATAATTTTACCACCAGTTTGGTTCTTATGTTGTTCCAATAATTCAGGTGGGTTGACAGCAGTTTCAAGGAAACGAGCATCAAAATTATAAGTCTTCTTTTGTGGTTGAGTGGCAACCTTTTCTGTGGTAGTGGCAGTTTTAACAACAGCAACCTTTTCTACTTTCTTTGGTGCTTCTTCTACTGGAGTATCCTTCAGTTCTTCGGATAATGCTTGGAAGGCCTTTTCAACAACTTGTTTAATAATGTTACCATCGGCAAACTTCAATAATTTAATTTCGTTACGCAAAGTACCAACAAGTTTACCAACATTGGCTTTTCCAATGGTGTAATATGAAAGCTTGTTGCTTGAAATTTGTCCATTAACTAATTCAGTAACCTTTTCTTCATTGACATCAGCACCAACACCACATTCAACTTCAAAATCTTGAATTGGGAGTGGTGTAGTACCAATCTTTTTAGCATACTTGATTGCTTCTTCGACTTGGACACCAGTCTTGAGTTTACCTTGGGCAATATATTTAGCAATGATTAATCTATTATCAGCCAAATTATCTGGGATGGATTGGATCAACTTCAAGATGAGTGGACCACAAGAATAATTAAATTCACTAGACTTGTTTTCCAAAGGAATGTTGACTTCGGTGATGGTACGAAGGAATTTTGTTGTGAGGGCTTCATTCTTGGTAAGATTGAAAATATCCTTTTCATTCAAACCAACAGCCAACAAGATTGCGTCTCTCTCCATATATTAAATTACTCTATAATCGCGATTAATGAAAAAAACAACAAAATGATGAAGAGGAGTTTATGACTTCTTCCGCGCTGCTGATGATTATTTTTTTAATCGTGAAAAATAATAAAATTTTATTTTTTTAAAGGTTTTTCATCAGCCATTTATTTTTATCTTTGCTGCTTGTTTGAATTTCTACTCCTTACCTTTTTTTAATGGTAATTACAAAGTGCATCATTGTTTAGATGAAATAATGAATTTTGTTTCAATCGATTGTTTTCCAACAAGTTTGATTTTGGAAGATAATCAAGTTGTAAACAAACAAAATCAATTTTCATAAAAAAATTGATCAAAAAAAATGCAAACAAGTACAAATGAGGAACCATTAGGAGGATCTGGGGTGGCCACCTCCAAACCATCATCATCAACAGCCATGGTCACGGTTGAAATTTCCTATTGTCTACATGTCATTTCTCCTCTACCTTTGGCCAAATGCGAAACAATTAATGTCAAACAAAAAATAGATATTACAAATGAATTTCAAATTCACTCGAATGAAACCCTATCTAAAATTCAGAAAATTATATCTTGTGTATTGTTAATGGAAGTGGACCACGGAGAATGGATGATTTCGGATGATAATAATTTTGTAACAATATCGGAAGATAACCTCATCCAACAATTACTTTCTCAATCACCAACGAGATACCTCGTTTTCAAGTTACCAAGAAGTTTAAGTGGAATAACTCAAATTAAAATCAAAATTTCACGATAAACGTCATATTTACATTTATTTACAGTATAATATTGTTTTTCTTTGCGTAGAGTAAGACTGGTTTTGGATCTAAAGTTTCGTCTGATGTGTTTGAAAGCATATTTTCGAGAATAAACTTGGATAACATTTTTTCTTCTCTTTGTTTGGCTTTCTCCATCATTATGGATTCTTTTCTCACTTGTTTCATTTCTTCCAATCTCTTTTGTTCCTTTTCAGTTGCTTGCAATTTTTGATAATCTTGCACACGTCTGGCTCTTTCTTGAGAATTCTTCTTGTCAATAAAGTCTTCAATCGCCATTTGCTTGTATCTTTCTCTTGCTTGTTGAGCCATAATCTTGTCAACTTCCTTATCCTTTTCAGAGACTAGCTTTTTGAATTGCATTTGTTGTTTCCTGCTGTTATCCACGGTTTCCATAAATGCTTTCTTTCGTTGTTCTTGTTTCTCTTCTTCTTCCTTTTGTTTTTCTTCCATTTCTTGTTCTTGCTTGACATATCTTTCCTTTTCATTGGCTTTCATTTCCTCGAGCATTTTAGACTGTTTATCGATCAATTTTTGTCTGGATCTCAGTTTTTCTCTCATACGTTCCTCTTCTCTTCTCTTTTGCTCAGTTTCCTTTTCTTCCTTTTCTTGGATAAATTCCAAGTTTTTGAGTTTCTGCTCTTTTTCGTATTCAGCTTGTCTCCTCTTCTTTTCCTCGATTTCTTCTAATTCTTTTTTGTATTGAGCTGTTGCTCCTAATTGTTGTTCAGCCTTTTTCTTCTTTTTCTCCTCCTCTTCTTTGGAAAGATTAATCAGATGCAATCTCATTTGCTCCTTTTCTTTCTCCAACTCTTCAATTCGTTTCATGTGTCTTTGCTTGATACTATCAATTTGTGTGTCTTGATCTTTCCTGATTTCTTTTGCCTTTTCCTTAGCTTTTTGGGAGAGAGCTAGTTTTTCTTGAGCTGTTTTTTGGAGTTGTTCTCTTTGAACTTCCATCCATGATTCAACTTCTTGTTTTTCCATTTCTTCCATTTGCTTTTTAATTTCAATTTGGCGTTCTCTTTCCCTCAAAACCTCACCCAACAGAACCTTTCCTTGAACTGCCTTGACACGATCATCTTCAAGCATTCTCATTTTGTTTAATTTCTCTATTTGTTTTCTTTTGATTTCAGCTTGGTAGAGCGCTTCTTCTCTTTCAAGCCTTTGTTGTTCTTCTTCCTTAATTCTATTACGTTCTTCTCTTTCTTGCTCTTGCTTTACTCGAATGGCGTCAATTGTGTTTCCCCAATTTTGTGCTCTTCTATCGGACTGTTCTTTAAGTCTCTTCTTTCTCTCATTCTTATCTTCCTCCATATCTCTTTCATCTTTTAATTGGTTCATTATTGTTGAGAATTCTCCTTTGGTTAGAACAGCATATGTTCCTCTCTTTGGATTATTATCGTAATTTTGATGCCACAATCCCTTTGAGGCATTGTGTTGTTGCTTTGATCCTTGATTAAATGATATCATCCTCCTCCAATAATTATTATTTTTATTTAAAAACTACTGATAAATTGTTTGATGCTTTTGTTGTTGTTGCTATTGATGCAATGATGATATTTTTTACAGAGATGTTTTATTGCAACGAACAGATTAAGGTACTTTTTGGCGCCAAACGAACAACAACACCTTTTGAAAGGCAACCTGAAATGTAACCGTCAAAAATTATATTAAAAGATTAAATTGCTTAATGTTTTCTTTGAAAAGTTTACGTGGTAGATTATCTTCCTATCTTTCTCATTTTGGAATTGATGAAACAATGAAAAAATAGTGCAATATAGGAAAAGTTGGAAAAGTCCAATATTTCATCGAAAAATAAATGGCGCGCCCGCCTTAATCACAAAACAAATTTCATAAAATTGTAAATCAAACGTTCCTACCCGAATGTTGAAAAAGTACACTATTTTACCAAATATTTCAATGAAAGATGACATTTCTTGTTGTACTCCAACTTGTATTCACACTACAAATTGAGCGCCAACAAGTATTTCATAATAGTATAAATTTGGCGCCATTTTTTTACATTCACTACAAACACTTACTCGAAAAAAAAGAATACAAATCTCGATTTGACAACTCATACTGTCAAGTTGCATAGCTGCGAATCACTACCACATATTATCTAAATCCCTAAATCAATCTAGTTGTTATCTAGTTGTTGTTTATATAAATTTATAAATCGCCTCATCCTCTAACATTGTACAATTTCACACTTTCAAAATGATGATCAAATCCTCCCTAGTTACTCCAATGCCTTCCATTCATACAACAACAAATTCAATGAATCAACCATACCATTCTCATTCCTCTTCCCTTCATCATTCGACTACCACCACTAATAATAATAACCATCATCACAATACACAATTTTTGAAATCAAACCAGAGCTCAATTGATGCCATGTTCAGAAAATTGATGGAAGCCAAGTTTTCATCAACACTTTCGGATATTGAATCAAACTTTAACCAATTCGATAATAATTTAAGTTCAACATTGAAAATGATTGAATCAGATTTTAAGAGCCTGTTCGAAACAAAAAAGAGAGGAAGAATTATTTCATCTGACACCTCTTCGACAATGTGTGATCAAGACGATTATTCAACTGCCTCAGGAAGCAAGAAGAGAAAGAGAAGCAACTTTTCAAAGAAAGATAAAGAGCTCCTTATTGAATGGCTTCAAAATCACTCCGACTATCCTTACCCATCAGATGAAGAAAAAGACGAATTACTTGAAAGAGTCTCAATGACCAAAGACCAATTAGAAACATGGTTTGTCAACAATAGAAAGAGATTACTCCCAACAGCAACAGCTAGAAAAACACCAGCCATGTTACAATGTGAAGAATTCAACACTAAATTAGAAAAGAAACTCGTTGTATAAATTAATTTGTATACAATTGAATTCTCTAAAGAATAACACTTTTTATTGATCATATTTCTGATGAGCGGTAACTTCCAAGATTGGTTGATTTTCAGTTGCTTCAGTTGCAGCAGTAGTGTTGGATGTTTCTGTTTTTGCTCTCTCAGATTTTGATTTAATCCACGAGGAGGAAGATCTCTCATAATATTTAACCTTCTTCTTTTTTCTTGATGCAATAAAACTGAATGCAATTCCAATAATTGTCAATACTAACAATAACACAAATCCAAAAATGCTAGCCGATGAAATTACAATCCCAATAGGATTGTATCTAATGAGAGGTAAAAGGGCAAGTTCAGTTTCTTTCTTATTCAGGTAGACACTTATTTCGGTTGAGTAAGGTGGCCAAACATTTGAATCTTTAGGATATTCATCGACAGATAGATAGGTATGTTCATTCTGATAGACCAATACTCTACCCCTACAGAATGTCTGATCTCCTTTCGGATAGCACAATTGTTCAACTAATTGTCCAACGTATGGACCTTGAACAATATTCCCAAAATCAACCAGAAAGAACACACTCATACCTGTAATGAAGAATGACGCTGATAATAGAAGAATAGTGAAGAGAAAGCAAAATCCAACTGCTTGACAAATGGTTCTCTTGTAATGCAGACTACCCATTTGGGTGTTCAATTGACCAACTAAATCACTAATATCACTATTAGAATCATATTCAACATTAGTTTGATTGAGTGGCTTTTCGTCGTTTTTAACTAATGTGTCTCTCTCCTGTGTAAACGATGCTTGGATTGATCCAGACATTATTTTTTAAAGTTAATCAATAGAATGAACTCTTTCAATCGTTATTTGAATATATCCAAATTCCATTTTCAGAGATTTTCTTGGAATGAACTACTTCCATTTTTGGTCATTAATAAAAATATGCTGCTAGTGATGATTTACTGTCCACTTTGATTTTTATTACCAGTATTACCAGTACATGGAAGGCGCAGAGTCCTATTCTTGGAGAGAATAACTTTTGATTGGCAGTTGATTTTTGAAAAATGTCTTTTTATCCATATTTGGACATTAAAATAAATATTATTTATTAAATTATTTACAAACTTGTCGGAATGTTATTTTCATTAAATTCAAAAATATTGTGAAAGTCAATTTGTCCATATTTGGAGTCCAAAAATATTATTTTAAATATTAATCGAAAAAGTATTCGGAATTTTCTTTTCAAAAAAAAATGAAAAAACTTCTCTTGAGTGGCTTTGCAGTTATTGGAGCTGCTACTGCTGCTGCTGGCTACAAACCTCTCAGAAATTATTATAATGGACCCATGGTTGACCCAAAAATTATGGAACATGCAAATTTAAAAGATAATGTAATTGTCATTACTGGTGTTTCAAAGAATGGCATTGGCTATGAAACATGTAAATCCTTATTGGCAAAGAATGGTACCATCATCATTGGAGTGAGAGATTTGAAGAAGGGAGAAGCGACGAGAAGGGAAATTTTGGAACAAGTTGCACTTGAGGAGAATAATCAAAATAATAGTAAGGGAAATATTTATGTAATGCAATTGGATTTGAATGATTTGGATTCGGTGAAACATTTCGCTGATGAAATTAAGGAGAAATTTAAGAGATGTGATATTTTGATTAATAATGCAGGAATTTCCAATGTTCCTCATGCATTGAGTAAGCAAAATGTTGAGATTCATTTTGGAACCAACCATTTGGGTCACTTTTTACTTACTAATTTGCTAATTGACCAGTTGAAAGATTCCAAAGGAAGAGTAATAACTGTTGCATCTAGAGCTCATGAAAATTATTATGGTAAAACTTTTAAACTGGACGAGGTTTACAATAATACATGCCACTACGTTCCAAGTCACTATTTATATGCTAGATCCAAATTTGCAAATGTTCTCTTCTCAAAAAAGCTGGACAGAATTTTGGCTGAGCAATCTAAGGATGAGCTAGATAGATGTACCTCTTATTCACTCCATCCAGGATTAGTGACCTCATCAATTGGTCGTTATAGTAGTCTGATGAGTTTTGTTATTGGCACTGTGGGTAGAATTTTCGGAAAGGACTTGGTTCATGGTTCTCAGACCACTCTCCATGTTGCCCTAGCTGATAAAAGTCAACTGAGAGGAGGTGCATATTATGCAGACTGTAAAGAAAAGCAAACAAATCCTCTTGCTAATGAAATATCTATACAGGATGAATTATGGCAAACAAGTAAGGTTCTTTGTGCAAAATATTTACGAGAAACAGATTAAATTCTTTCAATGTCAATGACCTTATTTTTTGAGAGTGAAAGGACCAAGTTGTTAGCTCACGTGATTGGAAGATTTATTAGATGGATTGGGTGTGAGATTTACCATGCTTTGACATTAATTGAGCAATTAAGGAGACTCTTTTTGGGATACTGTAACTCCAAAATTCTTTTATACCTTCCAATAGCCTCTCTCGTTCATAATTATCTTGACAATAATCCCAAATGAAAACTAGATAGAATTTGAGTTTTGAGAACCTCTTATCGATGTTATCGACAAATGATTTCTTTAGAAGGTTCTTTGTGAGACCTTCTGAATTTTCCACTTGTTTGCATTCCATGAATAATTCTATTGATTCTTCACATAATGTTCCAAAGTATTCTAATGATTCATTAAATAATTTTATGCCATCTACGCAAATTGTGTGTTGGGCACTGATATTTTGCTTGTCATATTTGAAGAATTCTGAAAGTTCCTTTCCCCAGTTCTCGTTAATTCTCAACAAATCGAAACAGAATCTCTTGTTGGAATTGGCATTATTGGTGTGAAAATTGATATTCACAATCTCAGTTAAACTTAAAATTTGAGGACTAATCATTTGGAATAGTTTGAATGAAGTATTGTACTGATCAGTGACAACTAAACCTTCACATTGTAGAGGATGTAAGTGCCTTCTTAGCATGGTTCTCAAATTATCTTCTAATTCTCTTACGTCCAATACGAAAGTTTCCTGTCTATTTCCAAATAGTTCATTGAATTTTTCGTTGAGCACATTTGGTGTTGGAATATTAATGTCCTTGGAAATTGCAAAGATATTTTCTGACTTGATACTGTTACCTGAATTCATGAAGGAATAACTTCCGTGAAGAAAGAGTTTAGTCTGATCGTATTGTACAGGTTGAAACTTTAAACTCTTCAATAATTTTTCTTGTTCACTTCTTGTTTGGTTGTGGCTTACAATGCACAACTCGAAAACATAACATTGATTCTCTTTGAAATCTATTTTTCCATTTTGTTTTTCTAAAGTTTTCCAAAAAAGGTCAGTAATAAATTTTTGCTCCATCTCTTCCTCATCACCAATGCCTCCAATTGATTGAGAAGTTTCACTGAATAGAGAGTCAATTCTCTTGTAGACCCCCAAGTTCCAGTTCAAATCTTTGGTGAAACGTTGCTTTTTTTGAACATCTGGACTGAATACCATCCAATCCATCTTTCCTGTGCCTTCATTCATGTAAGAAAAGACTATTATGGCTATTCCATTCAATTTCTCCATAATTAATGTACCTTTAGAGAAATCCAAGTCTGTGCTTCCTACAATCAAATCGTTGTCAAGGCCGTCATCAATAAACAAATTGAACATTGGTCTGTGATTTAGTGCTACAATTTCATACTGGTCATTTTCCAATTTCTTCAAGACAATACTCTCAAAGTATTGGCAAACATTGATCTCATTATTCATGGCCTTTGATACTTGGGTTGGATCATTCTTGGCAATTAAATACTCTTCCGTTGTGGTATATTGTACCCAGATTGGTGAGTGCTGTTTGTCAGCAACACAAAATACAAGCTCTGTACTTCCGTTTTTGTAATGATGAAGAGAAAATGAAAAATCTCTCTTGAGAGCTTCAATGCCTTTCTTCTCAATATATTTCAAAACTTGTGAGAAATCTCTGGTTGGAGTTTCAACTTGAGAGTACTTGTCATAATTGGAATGAATGTGAACCTTCTTTTTGCTTCTGTTTCCTCTGATAGATTTTGAACTGCTTACATTTTTTCTAACCACCAATTTATCGCTTGAGTCATTATTCTCAGAGTAGAGGTTAGAATTAATGTATGTAAAGTGGAAAAGATAGTGCATTTCTTCACTTATTCTATCCTTGTAGTGGACTTCCAATATTTCATACGTCTTGCTTCTCAATAGGTTCTTTTCAAAATTGGTTTCAATCAAGAGCTTTAATCTTGAAAGCATATCCAAGTAAACCTTGTTTTCTGAAATTTCAATCTCACTGTTGACTATTTCTAATAATTTCTCTGTAGATTCGTCAGCCATCTCCTCAATTTTTTTTACAATGGTACTGAATGGTTTCAATATAAACTCCCACTCTTCATTAGCAAATGAAAAGTTAATCAAGAGTTTGTCTACCTTTGTTTTTCCTTCAATAATATCTATAATTTCAGAGTTTGATCTTTCGTGTAAATCAAGCATGTCTCTTGACAGGCCCAAAAATCTAGCTGCATGAAGGAGATTCTTTGCTCCTTTTCTAAAATCACCATCGTTATTCCACAATCTTTTAGATTTTGCTACGTGGTGTGAAATATCAGTGAGTGTGGCACTCTTAAACTTGACCAAATTGAATCCACCAATACCATCCATCTCATCCTTATTGTCTGAATAGTTGTCGTGCAATCTCAATGGATAGTAGAATTTCCTTACCAAGTCCACCTCTTCTTTCCATACATATTCACCTCTGTCACTGAATGGCATTTTCAAATAACACAACATAATCACCCAAATATATTGTTCCTTCAACAAGTTTAGAAAATAATCCATATGATATATATTCACATTGATATTCTCAATACTATCATCTTTACATTTCAAATCTCCCTCTATCAACATTGATCCATCAAAATAATACTTTTCCGATTTAATAATCATGATAAAATCATAATCAGAGGTAGAATCCTGACAATCACACGTTCTATACAACTTTGATCCGAACAAGTACAAATTCAAAATATCTTCTCTCTGTATCGTGAATATTGTATTACGAGTAGTAATCATCACGGAATCCACCAACTTGCTCTGCAAAATACCATCATTCAGAGTTTGTACCTGTGCAGTCGCATAGGCTGGATTATGTTGATTCTCCAAAACAAAGTTCATCACATCCGTAAGATTAAATTTAGTCATTTTTTTGTGTTTTGTGTTTTTGGGTTGTTTTCAGAGTTGCACCATCATCACAATCCGCGTGCGTGTTTGTGGGAGTGTATGTCTCACGTTTTTGCATTTTTTTTAATATTAAATATCTTAATGGGTTTACAATGAAAATTAAATAGTATTGGTGATTTCAAATAAACTTGATAAAAAATGACTCAACATGATACGGTAAAAGTTTTGCTGATTGATTTTTTAGATCAGCGAATAGAAACTCAACAATTTCTCCGATGCAAATTCCAACAGCAACAATTAGGAAGAATGAAATATTTGAAAAGAAGAGAGGAAAATTTGAGGAATTGTAAAGATTGGTTTCCCATTGAATTTGCAAAAGATAAATATTTTGTCATCAACCAAAAGTCCATTGCAAGGGCAAAGATCTTTCGTCTACTTTCGGATGAATTAAAGAATGATAACGATGTTATTATTAGCTGCTACTCATATTTCGTTCATTTCAGTGATTATTACAATGTTTTGATGAATTTATTGAAATCTAAAGAATTAGCTGAAGAATTTTTGAAACGAAACAAAGTTAGCAATTTTAATTTTGATCCACAAACGTGGAAAAATACAGAACTTTGTAAAATGTATTTAAGAAATTTGAAATATCCCAGGTCGAATGTTAGGCAATTTGATGATGAATTTATAGTGGAAGCTTCATGGTTCAATGTTTCTTATTTTAGACATGGATCAGTAGAATTGAGACGAAATAGAGAGGTGGTGCTGAAACTTTGTAAACATAACGGAATGGTGATTCAATATGTTAATGCAAAATTGAGATTTGATAGAGAAATAATATTGGAAACTCTGAAAAATTGTCCTTCAGCCATTGAGTTTATTCCAAATGAATTGAAATTCGAAAGAGATTTAATTAATCAAGTATTTATTCATCACTATAGTGATGAGATCAACCTTGAGGATTTATCAGATGATATTGTATGGTTACGGACCTATTTGAAACTCTTTGGAATTAATAATATTCCAAGAACATGGTCAAGGAAATATTCGAATAACAAAGAGCTCATGATGGAATATATCAAAGAGAATGGAGATTATTTGAAATTCGTCTCTATGGAACTGAAAAATGATAAGGAATTAGTTTTGCAAGCTGTGAAAAATTCAGGCCTTGCCATTTACTATGCCTCTGAAGAATTGAAGCGAGATAGGGAAATAGTTTTGGAGGCAGTTAAGCAGGATGGTACTGCTTACAATTATGTGGCTCCTCATTTCTCTTCTGATAAGGAAATTATCTCATTGGCTCTTTGCAGAGATTCGAATTTTTTCAATCTTGCATCTGAAAGTTTGAAAAATGATTATGAATTTGTGATGGATATAGTATCAACAAGAGGAATGATATTGAAATTTCTACCAGAAACACTAATGAATAACAGGACAATTAATTTGGCAGCTATTTTAAATAATGGAAGAGTTATTGAATTTTCTCCTTTCAAACATGATCCAGAAATATTGAATCAGGTGGTTAAAGTAGTTCCTTATTATTACTTGAGATTTGTAGATTTATCAATGTTTTCGGATGAAACCTTGATTGAGGCAGTAAGATTTTCTGAAGATCCTTTTTTAATCACCAAAAGAGCTAACTATTTGGATTTGCTACAACGATCTATTGAATACAATGTGCGTTTGGCATCTTCATTTCCATATGAACATTTGACTGAACAACTGGTGTTGAAATTCATTAGAATGGATGGTTCTGTAATCGAATATCATAATATTAAGCGATTCATTCATTCAGACAAATCAAAATATTTCATCGAAGCTGTCAAATCAAATGGATTCTTCACTGAATTCGATCAGGAATTGTATCGACTGAGATTGAGTGAAGAATATCACGGAGCTATCATGCACTAATAAGACTAGATTAGTATTTACAGAAAGATTAATATTTTTGTAAAGAAATAGACATTTGTGGGGATGCTGAAATAAACGATATATTATCTCTAGATATTATAATATTTCAACGAACACTGCCAATACTTCACTCTCCCATCATAAGACAATTCACCATTTTGAATTATTTATGAAGGTTACATTTTTTAACAACAGGTTCCTTGGAAACTTTACAAAAACTATAAATAGAACTTTTTGCGTTTATTTCATTCAATTCATGTTCAAAAAAAAATTCACAATTAATTAATTAGAAAATTGCACAGTAAAGATGCTTCTATCAAATGTTGCTGAGTTGGCCAATTCTGTTGGCTCGGATTCGTCCGTTGGTTTATTCGGATATCCAATAATGATTGTTTCACTTATTGGAATGTTGGGTTCTTTCTTCTTGTGGTATGCAAGAATGATTTTTGGCAATTTATTGTTTAGATGGATGTTTTATCAATTGAATTTGTCTGATACTTGCATTGAATATGCTTGGTTTAGTTTGTGGTTCTCACACCATCCTTATACCAAAAATGGAAGTACTCATGTTAAACCATTCCAAAAAACAACCAAACTTAGAGTTAATAGAACAAATGAACCAAAGGAAGAAGACTCAATTGCCACTTCAAATATTTCAGAAATGATTTCCAATTTGAAAGTCAACTTTGTTCCGAGTTATGGAATTCACATCTTGTACAGAAATTCTGAACCACTCATAGTTTCCATTTCCATTAATACCAATCAAAATAATAATGCCTACAACACAGAGGAGAAAACTCGTGAAGATATTGTCATTTGGAAACCAAGACATTTCCTCACTGATTACCTTATCAAATTTTTATTTCCATGTCAAGATGGAGTGAACAATTGTAATTCAGTAATTGATATGTTGGAAAAGGCAGGAGTTGCCAAAGAGTTCCTCTCCTTTAATCCAACCTATCCTCAATCTATTGAGAATGCCTACTCTGTATTTCGTGAATTATTGTGTGACTGTTTCTATGTCCATACTCTCATGACCAGAGAAAAGACCACAATTTACACACCTTATTTCTCCCAATGGGTTTTGGCATCTTTCAAGGAGAAACGTGCTCAACATACTGTCATTCTCGATGAAGGAGTTTGGGAAGATTTACACAATGACGTTTCCAAATTCTTAAAATCAAAGCAATGGTACAAAGATAGAGGAATTCCATACAGAAGAGGATATTTACTTTATGGAGAACCTGGATGTGGTAAGACAACGACCATCTCATCAATTGCTGCCTGTTTGAATATGAATATTTGTGTATTTACCTTAGATTCTCAAACCAATGACACTTCATTGAATTCCTTATTTTCAACAGTTCCTCCAAATTCAATTCTTGTCTTTGAAGATATTGATTCAATCTTTCCAAAGGAAGAAGATGAGAAAAAGTCAGATTCTGCCACAGATGAAGTTTCACACGGTAGATCAGTTGTCAAGACCAATACCAAAAGTACATTTTCCACAATTTTGAATTGTTTGGATGGTATTTCATCTCAAGAATCGAGAATTGTCTTTATGACCACCAATTTTAAGGAGAAACTTCCACCTGCATTGATTAGAAATGGAAGAATTGATAGAAAGATTTATTTGGGACTTGCCACAAAGCATCAATTCTACAAAATGACTCAAAACTTTTATCCTGAGGAATATGTTAAGGAGAAAGTTGACGAAATGTGGGAAAATATGAAAGAATATAGTTTCGGAATGGCCAATTTGCAAGGTTTCTTTTTGAGAAATGAAACTTTGGATGCAGCTGTCAAATCTTCCAAGAATTTTGAAATGTACATGAAGGAGGAAGAAACTCAAACTCAATTGTAAATATAATTTGACAACATTTGTAAATAAATAATTAGGGAACTCAATTAACAAAAAATTTGATCTTTTCAAAGAGAGCTTATAAACAATTAAGCAAATATACAGGAGAGAATACAGAAAATCAGAGATAAGACTTTCTAGACCACCATTACACTTATTAGGATGAATACATCCAAACTGGGTACTCCTGTTGCCATTTCTCAATTTTCTCCAACATCAGCTCGAGCAAGCTCAGTAGTGCGACCAGTTTTGGTGCACCTTATTGCTATTTCGCCACAATTACGAATCAGCAAAAAAAGAGCTACTCTCAAACACACAACATTCACCCAACACAAAATTGTTTTATTGATGAATCATCTAGTTAAACTATTAAGCAGAATAATCACACCTTAGTAAATATTAAGTATGTCCGTTAAGAAGATAGTGCCTGTGAATTCGGGCCAACAACAACATGTCGATACATCTTCATCATTTGCCGTTACGAGTCATAAAGTTCTCAGTCGTTTATCAAATATTAAGGCCTCCGAAGAACCTCTCACATCGGATGGTGGCAATAATTTTCACACAGGACGAGGATTCTGCGTAGACTCACTCTGTTCACTCAAGACAATGCTCATCTCATTTCTGGTGATCTCTCTCTTTATAACATGCCTCATCATTTGGATCATTTTAATGATTTTGTCTTCACAACAAGTTGAAATTTCAATGGGAATTGCCTCAATAGTCGTGTGGTGCACATTCGTCGTATCTTTGATAGTATTTTCCATTCTGACATCTCTGGGAGTGTCCACTCTGATAAGGAAACCCATCACGGAATTAACTCGACAACTCTTTCGCATGAAAACATTAAGGTTTGACTCTGTGAAAAAGCTCAAATCCATTTTGTATGAATTCATTCCACTATTCACTGTGTTTTTCGATTTGAATAATTTAATGAAGGATATTAGACCTTTCATTCCCGAATCCATCACTCGGCAGTCGGATGATGATGAAGCTGAACTTGAGGAACAACAAAGGGAAGAAGAACGAAAACAATTACACATGATGCAATTGAGAAAATCCATCTTTTCTGCATCATCTGCTGGAATACCAACTCCTTCCATTGCTAATTCATCAGCAGCAAACAATGGTGGAGGTGGAGGATTGGCCATTCCACCCTCCATTCAACCTCCTCCAGCTGTGGCCACAATGACCATCAATGGACTTCCTCCTCCAAATCCAAATGTATCCGGCACAGGATCTTCATCACCATCAATCCAATGCTTACAGTTTCCTCTGTGAACAAATTAAGAAAGGCAGTGAGTAAGGTAGGAGTTGTGGTTGCACTCTCAAAGTCAAGAAAATCCTTTGCTTTGGAAGGGACACATGCTGTAAATCATCATGATTCTGTTAGTGATCATGGTAGTGTAAATAATTCAGTAGGTGCAGCAGCTGTTAAGGACGCTAATGCAGAGAGAACAGTTGGATTTTCACCTCAGCTGTCGAACAATTTAGGCCTAGGACTAACCTCACACATTACAACAATAATTATCATTCAATTTAGAAATTTTGATGGTAAATCGTATCCGAATACTGCTGATTTGCTTGCTGTATTTACATTACTCTTCCAAAAGGTTCAAAGTGCCAGCAGACAATATAAAGGAAGATGTTCGATTATTACACCAAAAGTTCTAATGGTTAGTTTTGATGTTGGAATGAATGTTGAAAGAAATGCTCTACTCTGTGCACTGCAGTTGGATAAACAAATGCAATCAGTCAATTCACAACTTGAAGAACAAGTCAACTTGCCAAAAATTGAGTATGGCATTGGAGTTTCTCGATCAGAATGTCTCGTAGGTAATGTTGGTACTTCAGCAGTGAGATTTGCAGCATTAATTGGTGCATGCTCGAGTAATGCATTGAGATTGGCTGCATTGTGTGCCTATTTTGGAACCTCAATTTTAACAGATGAATCCTTGGCATTGCCATTACAAACAGGATTCATCACAAGAGCTGTGCATTTCATGCAGAAGAAATCAATATTTGATAGTGAGAAATTGAGTTTGGATGATGGAGGCGATGATCGTCAAGTGATTTATCAATTACTTGCTGAGAATCGTGTAAATGATGACGAATGGCTCTATGAATTGGAACAACAGGAAAATAACAACAAATATAGAGAATTCGATCAGGCATTTGGGTTGTTGAGAGGAGATGTAAATATTGAACTGCTAGGTGAGATTTGTGAAGTGTTTGGAACCTATTCCACAAAGAATCCTCAAGATAAGGTTGTTTCCTTACTGTATACTCAATTGTCTGATTATTTAAAGCTAGATACGAAAGAAGTGGAAAGTGCTGTGAGGTCGTTTAGCTTGGAAAAGACTGATATTCCACTCCATACAGATCCATCATTTATTCTGTAAACATGTTTGTCAGGATGAATGGAAGAGATGGACAGAGAGGATTTAAGATATTTAACGAAATTTGTGGATTCGCTTATGGCTGACATTAAATCCTGCATATTTGAAAGATTACAATGGATCAATAGAGAATTGGAAAATAATGAGGAATCTGATATTATAAGGTCTTTTTTTAATAGTGATAGCTGAACTGTCAATCAGTCGACTTACATAATAATAAATTACAGTTTATTTGTTTTGTTGGTCATTGAGTTTAAATCCTAATTCCTGAGCGAGGGCTCCTGCATTGGTTCTCAAACTTCTTCGCTTCTTGTAAGCACTTCCATCTCTCAGTGAATTCTCCAAACCTTCCAATACACCCTTTTCATTTGGCTTGAGACCAATACTGTTGGCATTGAGTTGCACAGATTTCTTTCTCATAGCTTCCTCTTCCTTCTTCTTTCTCTCTTGAATATATTTACGAGCTGACTTGAACATTTCAAAGAATTCGTCAAGTTTAGTGAAGAAATCTTCTGGCTTGTTGGTAACCATGGTCTTGTCTTCATCGAACAAGATGGCAATTTCTTCCAATCCTTCCAATGTCTTTTTCAATTTCTCTTCAAGCATGGCCAAATCAGTCTTGGTTTGTTCGTAGAATGGTTTCATCTTTTCAATGAATTGATCTTGTTTGTTGATTTGATCAGCTTCATGTCTTTCCTTTTCCAAAGCTTCTAAAACATTTCCAAGAGCATTGGATGAAGATCTGATATTTTGTAAACTTTCCTTAATTTGAGAAATTGAGGCCTTCTTGGCAGATGGAACATTTGGCAAATCATCGTAGAACATAGACAAATCCTTTTGGTTATTGTCAATGTATTCGACAAGGTAGTGCAACAAGGAGAAGCCATCACTGGACTTGGATTTGGTATCCTTCATCTTGTGAAGAGATGAAAGATGGAAACCATATTGATCCTTTTGTCTACCCTTTGCATTCAAATAGTTGGCAATTGACAAGACAACAGCAAGGAACTTGACAAACTTTTTAGATTCCTTGAGTTCAATAGTTGCCAATCTCAAACATTCAATATCTGGTTTCAAAGTGGACAAATCATCTTCATATCTCAACTTGAAGGTCCAAGCGTCCATTCTTTCCTTAACTTTGGAAACATCCTTAACCTTGTAGAAGAAACAATCTGGATCTGACAATTGGGAAATGGAGCCTTCAAATGAAGCATAGGCATCACATTCTTCCTTTGTTGGAACAATGCTCTTCAGAATATTGATTTGATTCTTGTTGAGAACCTTTTCATCGAGTGCAATAATTCCTTGTTTGATAGTATCAACTGGCAAACGCATAGAAGCCAATTGAATACCAATATTGTAAGATCTCTTAGCATCGATGAATGATATTTTTTCATTGCTTTGCTTGTCACTTTGTTGAGATGGCTTATTGTGTTGATCCTTTTCGATGGTGAACAATTCTTCAATACGCTTTTCATCCAATTGAATTTGTTTGAGTCTTTCAATAACTCCCTTCTTGATAAAGATGGTATCCTTAACAACTCTCTTATTGATTGGATCAATATGAACATTTCTCAAATTGGCACTAGGATTGTAAGTTGGAAGTGCTGGAAGTGCTGGTTGAGCAACACCACCAAGCATACCAGGTGGAGGAGGCATCATTCCAGAACCAGGTGGAGGTGGGACGCCAACACCAGGAGGCATTGGAATACCTGTGCCTGGAGGAGGTGGAACACCAACACCAGGAGGTGGAGGAGGAACCATTGTTCCTGGTGGAGGAGGAACTGATCCAGTTCCAATTGGTGGAGGAGGAACCATTACAGAAGGCACAACAATAGCTTGTTCAACTGGTTGTTCAATAGTTGTTTCGACTGGTTTACCTGGAATGGTTGGAAGTGGCTTTCCTGTTGGAACAGGAAGTGATGGTGAGGAGGATGATCCAGAAACAGTTTTAGTTGTTACTGATGTTACAATATCTTTCAACAATTCAAAATCATTTACATCAATAGAACCACCTTCATTGAGGGCTTTTGCGAGTTTTTCCTTTTCTGCCTTCAATTTTTGTTCCATATTTGTGAATTGAGTTTGTTGAGTTTTGACTTGTTGCTTTAAACGTTCAGTTTCTTCTCCCCAATTTCTGAGACGACCTTTCTGATCGACAGAATCAACAATTTGTTGAACTAATCCAGCCAAAACATGCCAATTTTCTTCTTGAATTGTATTATCAACACAAATAGAAGCACGTGAAACAATGGATGTACGGGTATCTTCATAGGATTGAGCAATTGAAAGGAATGAATTCAACATTTTTGTAAAGTACTTTTGAGAAATTTCAGATAATTGTCCTAAAATAATTTCTGTCAATTCTGATGGATTTGAATCTACAATGGTCTTGAATTGTTCGAATCTATTCACATTTTCTTGATTAATTTCATCTTTGAAAGTGTTAATTTGAATTTGCAAATCAGGATCCGCAGAATCGATAGTATCCAAAACTCTTTCCAAATCCAAATTGATAAATTCTTGTTGAATCCTTGATCTCATCTTTGGATCGTCAGGAGTTGTCATTAAAGTGTTAATGAACATTAAAGCATTGACACGAAATTCAGTGCAAGCTCTTCCATGTCCTCCACCAGTGTACATAATTCCAGTGGCTGTAGTTCCACTTGCATAACTATTTTCACTCAAAATCCATTCAGCCAAATTTTGGAATCTCTTCTTTTCTCTCTTGACGAGTTTGTAATGATTCATAGCATCGAGAATGAGTTCAAATGCATCTTGTCCACTGTGATGACACAAGAGAGCAAGTAATAACAAGATGGTTGATCTGTTTTTAAGTGAAGATCCATCTAATACAAGTACCATAGTTCTGTTTTTAACAAATTTGTATGATAATTAAGTTTCATTTCAATTAAATGTAAAATTATATGAAAATTATAAAACTTTCCATTAATATTTTCAGAAACTTACCTAATTGAATCTCTTTGACTCAAAAATGATTTAATACCAGCATCCACATTGAGCAAACTTGTAAAACTCATTAAAATACTTGTACGTAATTGTTCAACATTATTCAAACTAGTTTGATGAACACCATTTCCACCATTATCAGTCGATGTAGAATAATTTCCAAACAAGGAAAAGAAATTAATGGTACAAGCCAACAAACAAGTCAATTGATACAATCCTCCTTGACGAATAAACTCTTCCAACCAAGTAATTGGTTGCGAACGAAGTTGAACTGTCAATTTTTGAACTATTTTAATCATTTCTTCAATTGACTTGTCACTATTAATTTTTTCCTATTAAAATTTTAAAACAAATCAAACAAATCAAACAAATTCTTTTGTTACAAAACAATATATATCAAAAAATACTTACCATGGATGGACCCACAACTGATGCACTCTTTTGCAAACAGTGAATATAATAATCAACCTTATTTCTCTCATCAGAACTGAAAGTATCTTGATTTTTACGAAGTGATTGGACGAAATCCCATTTCATTTCTTTTGTCTTGTGTTTGCTAATGAACATTTGTTTGGCTTCATTTTGAATACCAATTTGTTCCTTTTATGGTCAATTTAGATATTTAATCAGTAGAATTAAATATTTTCGAATAGTTTACAAAGTTTACATACAACTGCTTCCATAAATCTTCTGTTGATTTCTTCTTCATCATCTGGTATGGCTTCCTTGACAAAATTTCCTAATCCTTGATGATGAGAACCTGAAAGTGATTCTTGTGATGAAGAAGGGCTTGAAGGATTCGAAGAAGAATTAGACGAATCGTTATTCGAATTACCGGAAAGCTTGGAAAAGAACTTCTTCATAGAAGACTTTTTACGGTTTTGTTGTGGTTGTTGTTGTTCAGAATCTTGCTCGTTAACCATGATGACGATCTAGTAATTTTTAAAATTATTCGAAAATAGACTAAACTATCATTAACGAAATTGTTGCGTTAATTTTTTCACTGGTGATAGCACAATTTGACAGGGTGATTGGTGGATATGAAACGATTTCTTTCTATTTCGGTCAACATCTATCATCAATCCTATCAACATCATCCCCAACTATTCGAAACCAAGAACGAATCTTATCTACAGCCACTATTTTATTAAGATCTTCATTTAGTCATTATGTATTCAACCCTTTCCACACGCATCTTGTTCTTTATAAAATCTTATTCGAAACTCAAAAATCAGACAACTTTCCACTACTGTAAACTGAAGATTTATCTTCATCATCGTCAGTCCACAAAGCATAAATTCCACTACTCAATTCTCGTTTTCCATTTTGGTTGACTTTATAAAATGATCCTGGTTCGTTTTCATCTTCAAATAAAAGTTTGGAAATGTCAAGAGGTTTGACACGTGTGTTTTCAATGAGATATTGAGCTAGTTCTTCATGATTGTTCATGTATGATATTTCGATGGGTCTGAATTGGAAGTTGATTGCTTGTTTGTGAGATTCTACATCGAGGAAACCTTCACTTCCTGTGTGTTTCTGGTATGTTATTGGAATCGAATAGGAATTAGTTTGAAACTTACATATTTCTGGGCAAGTTAGAATTTTTACAGAATGAATAGAGGACTACTTACAATAGGAGGACCTAACAGGTCTGGTTTCAAGTCCTTTCTCATATTTACAAATAATTTAACAATTTCTAAATCTCCTTTCGAACAAAGCTCATAAAATACGAAACCTCTATTAACATCCAAGTCTTTTCTAGAAAGTAATTTAGTGATTACTTCAAATTTGGTTTGGTTACTCAATTTGATGGCGCTTTTCAATATTAACCCATCTTCAATATTCAAATCAAGATTTGTATTCGTAAGGAAACGTGAAAGAATTTCAGAATTTTCTAAACAATAAGCAAGTGGACAACCTTGATTGATATCAATGTTTGGATTATTCAGAAATAGCTGCACCATTTCAAGATTACCAGATTTACAAACTTGAACAAACGATTGACATTCGTTTGGATTAGTTTTTGAGTTTTCCAACAATATTCCAATAATGTCCATACTATGATTATCATCCAGAGCTATTCTCAGTGGTGTTATGTGCTCAATCTTATCCAAACTATCTCTCAAAATATGTGGAAACTTTTCAAATAGGTTCGTCTCTGAAACTTCCTTAATTCCAAAATTAGTATCAATATTTGGCTTTTTCAAAATCAATTTCACAATGTGTTTGCTCGCCTTCTTCATTGCCAGAAACAGTATCGACCTGCCATGTAATTCTGAAACACTCGATGTCCCAAATGTCAAATATCCTGCATATCCCTTATTAATATCAATGTCACTCCTTCCCATCAAAATCTCAGCAGTTGAATAATGACCATTCTCAATAGCCACATACAAAGCTGTCTTGGCACATGGAAAAATCAAATCACCTTCAGATTTATGCTTCTTCTCATGAATTTTCAAATCACTTTTCGATTTTCTAAATTCGTCTTGTCCCTTCTTTACATCATTCTTTTGGAAATTTAAAATTTTTGTAATTTTAAATGGAAAATTACTTACAATCTGAATAATGGTCAAATTTACAAATTAAAATTCACTAAAATTGACAAGAAACTTACTCTTTCAATTTGAATTGAAAATTTGTTCACTTGAATGTGATTCGAATTATTGAACGAAAGTAGCAGCTTGACAATTTCATCGTGACCTCTTTTACTGGCCAAATAGAGTGGAGTTTTGGTTGAATAGGCATTATCACATCCCAAATTAATATCCAAATCAGGACATTCTAATAATTTATGAATAATCGAAAGGTCACCTCCGAAATGTTTAATTGCTTCGTATAAAAGCGAATGACCTTTATCATTTAGTTGGTTGATGATGTGGTTTAATTTCATGTGGGAAAGTTGTTCCACCTTTCCTTGTTGAATGAGTTCGAATGCATGATGCTTTCGGTAGGAATCTAATAGAAACATTTTTTTTAATGTCAAAAAGAAATGAGGTTCAATAATGGAAAGTATGGTTGCTGATTGGTTTCGTTTTGGTAATTTTGTAGTTTATTCAAAGTCTTACAGTTCCACAGCTTCACAAATATGTTTCTTTACAAAAGGTTAGTTTTATTCGAAACCATTCTTATTGTAAACTAACAAAAACCGTAGTTGATTACACAAATCATAAACTACACATTGCTAATCACAAATCAACAAATAAACTGTCGTTTGACGATTAATACAATGTACGAAGAGATCTACAAGTTTAAATGACACGATATTCTATTGGAAACTTAGTTTTCGAAACTTTAACACACTATTCCAAAATGTTGAAATTTACTAATAGAACACAATTTCTTTAATCATCAAGGTAACTTTCGTATAAAACCAGCTCACATTAGCTAAGCTTTCGAATAACATTGTTAACAAAAAATAACGTAAAACATGCAAGGAAACAAATTGATTATTTGCCTCTCTGTTGTGTTTATTCCTCTTTTTCATCCAAATGTCAGCTGCCACTTGGCCTTCCCAAGTTGTCAACATTACCAGTTGGAAATTAACTCTTCCAATAGGTGAAATCGGTGATCCCATTGAAATCTACCAACCAACTCTCAACCAATACATTCTAAATCCTTATTTTGGAGTTGGACCAAACAAGACATCTATTCGATTCAGAGTTGTCATTACAAACGAAACTGTTACAACTTCTGGATCTAATTATCCAAGAAGTGAGCTTAGAGAAATGGATTCTGTTAATCCTAGTTCTGTAAAAGCTAGTTGGAATACTAGTGTTGGTGTTCATACGATGATTATTGATCAAACTATTACGAAACTTCCTGCTATTCGAAACAAATTAATTGCTGGTCAAATTCATGATGCTGACGAATTTATTGTGACCATAAATTTGGAGGGCACTAAACTCTACATTAATGTGCAAGATGTTGGAACCACAACCATCACAAAAAATTACATTTTGGGAACAAGATTCCAAATTAAGATTCAAGCCAAAAATGGAACTACAAGTATTTATTACAATGATATGAATACCCCAGTTTATTCCGTTTCCAAGACCTATAAGGGAGCTTACTTTAAGGCAGGTTGTTATTCGCAATCCAATTGCGCCTACGAAGGAACTTCTTGTGGAAAGTCCAGTAATTATGCTGAAGTGTTAATTCACAATTTGACAGTTACTCATGAATATCCAAAAACTGGAAGAAAGGGGATGAAATGGTTTGGAGAAACAAATGATGTACCTGCTGTGAGATTTGGATTGGTCAATTTGGTCATTGTTTGTTTAGTGTTTGCATTTATGGCACTTTTTTAATAAAAATTGAAGAGATATTATTCGAAAGTAAATCCCAAAGATTCAGTTTGTGTAACAATTGAAACATCACTAAATATTCCCTTTTCATAACAAGATTTCACTTTCTTTGCCATTAATTCAGCCTTCGAATATTCTTCCTTATTGAACTTCCAATAGAAAAATGCAAACTTTTTGTGTTGTTCTTGCCACATCAAACAATCGATTTCGAATACTTTTCCATAAGGATAGCATACAGGTGAAGTGAATTTGTACGGATAGGTCATGTGCTTATTTCTATCATCCACATCAATTGAACTGTCATTGTAAACTGTTACCAATAAACAGTCAACTTGCAAATATTTTACAATCTTTCGTTGAGTTTCAATGCAAGATTCTTCTTTAGCATTTTCTTCTTTATCTAATTGAATTTGTTCTTTTCTTTCATCCTCTTGAGTTTCTTCTTGAGTTTCGTCTTCACTTTCTTCCTCACTTTCTTCTTCAATTTCTTCTTCTTCTTCACTCTCATCTTCTAAACTTTCTTCCTCATCATCTTCAGATTCCACTCCACGAGCTTTAATAATATTTCCTCTTTGAATTTTAACAATTCCATAACCATCAGTAGTTGCCACAATTCCATCATGTCCAAAATCAACATCAATACATCTGACAGAATTTGATAGCTCAATTTGCTTGAACATGTAAAAGTTTGGATAAACTCCAGAAGATTTCGAAACACAATATTGAGAAGCATTCTCACCACAAACATAAATTGTGCCACTATTCGAAAGTGCAACAACTCTCCTATAAAATCCAACAACCTTAATAAAGAAAGGTTTAGGGCACTTTCTTTGGAGCTTGATTTCACATTCGCCAAGATTCACAACGGTTTGCACATTTTTCTGACCTCTTGCAGCAGCTCCATCATAATTATATCCTAAACTGTAAAGGTTTCCATCAGAAAGTATTAGAAATAGAGCTGGCTCATTTGCTCCCATGCTTATGATGTCCAAATTTCTAGCCTCTTCAACTTCAAACAATGGACATTGTGTTTTGGTATTGTAAAGTTTCATTTGCATGATTCCAATTTGTGTGAAATTCTTTCCAAATTGAGAATAATTATTTAGACGAAAGAGAGGATCCATTAAGTTGGTGTTATTGAGAGAAACAACAAGTAATCTCTTGTAAACTGTTGATAGAAAGAGAAATCCTTGCGAATAGGCCATGTGTTTGACATCTTTCCATGAAAATGTTTGATTTCCATTCGATTCGATAAAAGTTTCGAATACTTGTTTGATTTTTAAATCAATGACGAATGGACCGGGACCTTTAACGATGAAGCATTTGATGTCATTCGCGTCTTTATCTGTATTGCATCCTAGACAAATTGTAACTCCACTCTTTTTGCAATCCGAAACCGCTTGGTCAATTCGCAAGTTGGCAAGATTAGGATAATGTTCAGAAGAAAGATAATTCTCTTGCATGTAACCCTTATAGGAAGGGAATGGTACAACTCCAGCATAGCTAGGATGAGACATTTTTTAACACAAAATCTTTTTCGTGTTTCGGATAAGAATAGTTTCTTTTAAATAGTTTAATCATGTTACATCCAAAAATGTTACATTCCAAAGTAATTAAAAATGCTTCAAATATTTGCTTGGGTTATTATAATGATATCTGTGTCCATCCTTGACATTTGAAAGTTGGTTTTAATTGCACTTGTCAACCTTAGTGGTCAACTTATGCTTTCTTCAATATGAATTTCCCGACACCCATGCAACAATCCTTATTGTATCCATATATAGTTCCTTCCCATCCATTAATTGTTCTATTACCATCCAAATACAAGAAGTTTTTGTTATCTGCATCATCTGGTAAATCCATGAAAGGAAATAAATCTGAAATTGAATTATCATAGTTCAGTACTATTCTATTGCTCATATCAAAGTATGGCTTTACATCATAATCATCTTTAATATCTGTGGCAGTGTAAATATTCCAATAATTATTGATAATATCTTGTCGTAGTCTTATTTCTTCCTTACTCTTTTCTAACATGATTGGATCCTTAATGATTCTGAAACTGCAACCCTCCGAAATGATGCATTCTCCAATAGGAGGATGAGCTTGTACTGGAGTTATAACCTTTATCATGCTCTTATCTTTAAATTCATAATTAGAAACAGAAAATTTCTTCTTTTCTGTATCGTAATACAAGTAATTATCCATATAGAAATTGAAAACTCCAATTTCAAAACATCCTGGAACTTTGACTTGACTCCACTTGTCCTTATTAGCATCAATTTTCTCCTCAAATTTAACATGTAAACTATGCTTCAATCCATTTCTCAATTTTTTCAACATACTTGCATAATTACCATGTCCAACAAAGTTAAACAATAAAGTAGCCAATGAATCATTATATTCCAATTCAGCAATATATTCAACACCCAATTCTGGAACATTTTCCAATGCTGCATTCGCTTCTCCCCAATTATCACTCACTTCCCAAGCACTAGCTCCCCATTCCTGAGAACTCACATCCACACCCCATTCAGCAACAGCTCCATCATCATCCTGAGCAACTGTATCTACTCCCCATTCAGCAACAGCTCCAT